CCCTCTGGCCCTGCTCACAGCCATCCACTACTGTCCTTGAGAAGTGAGGTGAAAGAGACTGCTGCCCTGACAGTGGGTGTTTGGGAAGGGAACTGGTACTTCTGTTTGCTTCCCTTGCTTTGGGTGTCTTAAGTTTTTGTTTCTTCCCTGGCTGGAAAACTTCATCCACCTCCTTTACCGAAGAGAAGGAGTCTGCAACTCTGGAGTTGAGTGGATGCAGCGTGATTGGAAAGCGTTAGGAGCAGTGCTTGGGCTTCAGCTAAACTTGTAAGGTGCCGGTTCAGGACCTCATGGTAATGATAGTCAGCTAAACTTATATGGGCACCACACACCCGGTCTGATTTATTTCCTTTGAGTGATAGAGCTGCTCAGTGGCTTAGGCAATTGTGGGTACCATTTGCAGACAGGAACATGCCAGCGTCTGAGGGACTGGGGTGGGCATACAGCTAGCCAGCGGTGGAGCTAGGACTCGAACCTGGGCCTTTAGCACTGTCCACCACCTGAGATCCTCATCCTGGGCTGAGCCCAGTGGAACCAAGCCTTCAGCATGGCTCTGCCATGTTTAGCAGTGTGACTTCTAGCAAGTTACTTAACCTCTCTGAGCCTCTGTTTCTCATCTGCAAAATGGGGATAATGGTAGAACCTAACTTATAAAGTTGTTGAGAAAATTAAGTGAAACATTAAATACAAATACGTACAGAACATATGGCAAAGATGGAATTTCTTATCAAGGTAAACATATACTTACCATATGCCCTAACAATCCCACTTCCAAGAGAAATGAAGATCTATATGTGTCCACCAAAGGCTCATATGTGAAAGTTCCCAGCAGCTTTATTTATAATCACACAAATCTGGAAACAACCCTGGCGAGTGGATAAACACACTGTGATAAATTCATACAATGGAATACTGCTCAGTGATAAAAAGGAACTAACTACTTATTTCAGCAACGACATAGATGAACCTCAAATGCATTGTGCCAAGTGAAAGAATCCAGACACAAAAGACTGTAATTCCATTCCTATAACATTCTAGAAAAAGCAAAACTGTCATGATAGAAAGCAGATTGCTGGCTGCTGGGGGTGGGGAAAAGGAATTCAAAGGAAAGGGCTCAAGGGAGGTTTTCTTGGCGGGGGGGGTGAATTGTTTTGTGTCTTGGTGGGGTGGATAACATTTGTCTAAATTCGTCAGACTACAGTTTTAAAGAGGGTGAGTTTTATTTCAGCCTTCTAAAACCCTGATTTTTAAAAACAGGGCCAGGATCATAGTAAGTCCTACACAAGTGTTAGCTGCTCCTATTATTGTTGCTGATACTGTGATTATTATTCAGGGAAGTGTCTTAGGACGGGTGGACATCCCAGGACAGCTCTGACCCACCTGGCTGTGCTCAGGTGGCCAAGGAGGACTCCTCTCGTCTTCTCACCCTGTGAGTGCTCGATGGGCAGCCTGGCTCCCAGTGTTCCTGACAGACTGTGGCACACGGGGAGGACTCTCAGCTGTTTCCCACAGTCTGGCTTCCCTCCTGCTGATCCTGCGAGGCACTCAGTGACACGTTAGCAAGAAAGATGCCACAAGAAATAAAGTTTGTTATGAATTATTCGACTTGGGGCTAATTATAGGCACAGAGGAGAGGATTATTTACAGAGACAGAAGGCAGGGGTGGGGGAGGGACAGGGTCAGGGAGGCGTGGAAATGAGGCAGAGGGCTGAGAGAGTTAAGCAAATGAGGCTACGTTGTGGGGGAGTAAATGCACCTTTTAAATAAAAGCTGTAACTAAACTTAGATGCAAGCTGATCAGCCTGCCTTGGGGGACAGATCAGAGGCCCCAGGCCTAGGCTGATCCTCCAGATGGAGCTCAGGAAAGCGCTTGGTCTCAGGGTCCCAAGGGGTATCAGGTTTTCCTGGTGGGGTATGGGACGCCATACGATTCCCCCACCCCTGGAATCTCCACAGGGATTCAGGTCCATGTTTGTGCCCATGACCACCCTCCCTGCTCCCTTGGGCTTTCCTGGTATCCAGTATGTGCCAGGGGAAGGAGAGGCAGGGCTTGGGGGGACTTGGGCGAACTGCACCACACCTGAAACAGCCGGCTGTGGCTCAGGGGTATGTGGACCTGGTGTGAGCCCAGCTTCCACTTCCACCACAGGAGATGGAGAACCAATGTTTCTGTGAAACTTCCCGGTCTTCATATGTGGGCATAGAGTTCAGGCCTACAAAATATATCTACAGCATGTGGGCCAGGGATCTGCAGCCTCTGAAATTTGGCCTGGCCTACTGTTGTTCCAGCAGGAATGTGGCTTAGTGACTCAGTGACTCAGACCTACCCTGCCTGCAGTAGATGTTGGAAGACGGACTCCAGTGCCAGCCGTGGACTCCGGGGTCTGCAGCAGGGCCAGTTGGTGGCTCCTGTCACTTGCCAGAGAAGCCCCACCTATCTAGAGGCCACCCGTCTTGCCCTCCCCTGAGAGCAAGCAATAGGAAAGGTGTTTCCAGTTATATATGCCTGGCTGCACCGCGTCTACCCACTCAACCAGGCAGGAAATGACAGAGTCATCTTCTGCCCCCTGCCCTGCCTCCTCCCAAGCAGGTTGGTCACCTTCCACACCATGCCACCAGGATGCTTTTCACATCCACCGCTCATCTTCAGGGGCCTGTTTCAGGTCACGCAGCTCCTTGTGACAGCTGCCACCACCACCCCCAATGGCAAAGTCATCTCTGTGAAGCTCCCTGACCCCATCTGCCCTTCTCCTGTCCCTACTCTTCTCTGCTTTCCGCTGGACAGCGTCCTGGCTCAGATCAAAGCCTTTCTAATTCAACCCATGCTGCCACTAAATATGTCCTGCCGCGAATGCTCTGCCTGTGCTGTTCCCCCAGTGTATAATGCCCTTCCCACCTCCCCCCCACAGCTCCCACCTAGTGCCCAAGGCCTGTGCAGGGCATATATGCTATATTCTGTTCTGCTGCTTCTCCTGCTGGACCCTCTGCTGCCCAGGGCTCCAGGCCTGGCACAGAGCAGTTACTCCAGGAACAAAGAAATGAGTAGTCCAGTGGGGACCTACCAGAGATGAGCATGGAGCATGACAAAGGCACTCTTCAGATGAGACGTGCCAGGAAAGACTTTCGGAGGAGGGGCTGTGACCTGAGATCTGGACAATGAGAAATGAGCTACCACGTCTGTGAGAACAGCACACTGGCCGGGGAAACATGGTGCAAAGGTCCCGAGGCAGCACCAAGCTTAAAGTGCTGGGAGAACAGAACAGGCCAGGTGTTGGGACCATGCTCTCTGGCATCTGAAGGGTAGGAGAAAAAGAGACGGAAGAGCCACATTCATCAAGTTTGCAGCTGGGGCAGTGACAATGCTGTCTGTATAGGATGCTGACCAGGTAGCGTGGCCACCCGAGATGGCTGAGAAAAAAAATGTCCTGCGGTGACAGGTTTGGTAGTCCTGCCTTGAGGATTTGGGAGCCTTCTGCCCTGAGGTCCTTGGGAAGCCAGGGGTGAGGAGTGAGCAGAAGGGAGGCACAGGAGGTGGGGGACCCTCACAGATCCCTGAAGACTGACGCCCAGGGAGCTCTGGAATCAAAGATGGCGGGTCCTCTAGCAAGCGGAAAGGCTGGAGCCAAACTATTAGGGCTGAGTCAGGAAGGGGATGAGAAGGGGAGACCTGCAGCAGAAAGGGGAAAGGACTAAAGGGACCCAGACCAGCAGGAACAAAAGGCAAGGGCCCTATGAATGGTTTTTGGTCCTTGATAGAGGATAGTTGAGCAGCCTTAGAGACCCTTGGAGCATTGCACCCAGGCATCTTATGTAACTCTGTGACACCCACTCCAGGAAGCCATCTCAGATCAGGTCCTGTGCTCTCATGTCACCAGTTCCTGACCAAACCCTGGCCACAGATTGGAACCTCGGACTTACCATGGTGATGATCTAGCCAGCATCTGTCTCTCATGAGTGGGTGGGTCCAGAGAAGGGCCAAACCTGGTTTTTCCCAGTATGGCAAATCTAAGCTGCTACCCAGGGCCTGGCACACGTCCAGTGGTGGGAAAGGCTGAGGATGCCAGGGAGGGCAGGCATAGTTCTGGTGTAGAGGCCCCGGAGGGAGCCCAGGCTGCCGGGTGGTGAATTGGTCCAGAAGGAGGTCATGCTGACCTTGAAGCGAGCTGGCCTGTGGGCTGTTCTGAGCGGCTGGAGTGGATCTCGGCGGGTGGGGGGGACGTGCTCTGGAGTGGGATGGACGGATGCTGCACAAATGCTCTGCTCTCCCGGAGCCTCCACAGGGAGCACCCTGGGAGCCTGGAAGGATGGGCGCCTGCAGCCCTCCTGCTACCCTCCCCCCTCACACTCCATTTGTGCCGCTCTGATGGCAGTGCCCACGTTCTGCTTTGGGGGCAGATGAAGGTCCATGTCCAGTTGATTCCCTGCACATAACAGGCCCTGGTGGGAACTCTGCTGGAGGAAAGGATGCTCAGAAGACACTGCCCGCTTCCCAGCCTGTGCCTCTCTGAGGGTGAGGGCCGGTGAGTGAGGGTCAGGACCAGCCTTGGGGGTTGACCAGCTGTCTTGGCTGCTCTAGGTGGCGTAGCAGGACTTGGCTTTGTGCAGCTGTATGCAACCAGGCATGCTGACCCTGTGCCCTCCCTGCAGGGCCACCCCCCACTGGTGGGAGCCCCCTCCCAGGATCAGGCTGCCGAGGGTCCCAGGTGCCAAGGGTGGGGGGCTGCATCCTCTTGCTTCCCTCAATTCATTAAGACCTGTAAATTTTCTCATTAATATACTTAAAGTTCATTTTAAGGGGAACAAGCACAGAGATAATTGATAATAAACCCTCAGTTAATGCCCTCAGTTTACTGTATGTAATTTATATCCACTGATAGCGTCTCTCACTCCCAATTACCCATTTAGCTGTGGCGATAACAGCAGTTCAATCAGACCGATACCAACTTTTATATATTCCAGCCCAATAGCCATAAATACCCACACAGGGAGACTCGCTGGGCCACTGTATTTTTTTATTAAGATTTAAATATTCATGCAATTATTAGTGATTTATTAAAGAGCTAATGACCTCTTCAAGAGACTCTAAATCTTCACCCAAAGGAGCCCTGGACTTCCCTTCCCCTCTTCCCATCCCCTGTCCCTCCCCCACCAAAACCAGGGAAATGGGCTGCTCTTCCAAATCCCAGAGGACACCGCGGCATTGCCTGCGTTTCCATGGTGACAGAAGGCAGGTGAAGCAGAGGCCAAGGGTGGAGGTCAGGCCAAGGAGGGGCTGGGCTCCTGGGAGGTAGATGCTCCTTGAGGACAAGAGGAAATGGAGGTCATCCACCAGCCCCCCACGCCCGCCCAGCCAGCAGCCTCCTCACTACAGCCTCCCCTGGGCCTCGTTTTGGCATTGGCAGCCCCTTCCTCCTTTCTTGTGGGGAGTCTTGGGGAAGGGGTAAATCAGCTTCTGTCTCCCCTGCTACCTCTCTCCCTCCTTCTTTTCATCTAAAGCATTCCCTCCTCCTTGCATGGAGGACACAAGGGTGTGCAGGGATCTGGGGTCCTAGGATGCCAGGCCCAGAGAAAGCATCAGCTCCCCTTGGACTGCACAGCAAGCCCTGGACCACCCATCTCTCCTTCCTCCATGTTCCCTCCAACCCCTTCCCCGTTCCGTCCAGCCCCCTCTTCTCTACCCACAAGACCTGGGAGCCCATTAAAGGGGCAGGAAAGATAATGAACAGGCTGGGAAAACATGAAATCAATACCAGGAGAAAAAGTACGGCTGCCATTAAGTGAAATAAACAAGCTGGTAATTATTTGGACAGTGGGTAATTAAAATGGGGTGAGGGCTCATTACTGTCTCATCAGGGGTGTAACGGGTGTGGCCAGACACCCTCTTCCCAGCTGGAAGGTCACAGCGGGCCTGGGCTCCATCCCACCCAGTTTGGGTGAAGGGGGCGTACCTTGTGGGGGTCTCCTCTGTGGGGTCCCCCACCCCCAGCCTGCCTATGACTGTCTCCAGCATCCTGCGGGCTCACACTTGGTGAGAGTCTGAGGGCCACCAACTGCAGGCAAAGCCAGGGGCCCCCACCCTGCTCCCCTGGCCCCATCTTATGAATCCTCTACTCTGGAGGCCCCCCCACCTAAAAAGGAGCAGTACTCGCAGGTCTCAGCTGATAGTGGACATGTCGCACTGGCAGTTAGCCCCTTGCCACAGGAGATGGGCAGATGACCCATCCAGCCTCTGCCCTGGGCCTGGGAACCTCCTTCAAGGTGCTAGCAAGGGCAGGAAGAAGAGGGGAGAGAGGTGACTGAGAGGGCAAAGCAGGTGCAGAGCTAGAGCGTGTGGCAGTGTCAAAGCTGGGAGAGGAGGCTCCCTTGCTCTGTTGTGACCCTGATTTGTAAAGTCAAAAGAGACCTTGGACATTGTCCAGTCTGGTGTTGCCCTGCCAACTTGTTTGGCCCGCACAGTGTTTAAAATGTTTAAATTAGTTGTCAACATTTTAATGTGGAAAGTTTTACTTAAAAATGGATTTCTGCCTTCTCTCGAAAGAAAAAATTCCTGCACATCTTGCCAACCTGCCCTAGTGGCAGCAGCTGGCTGGACTGAGCTGACTTCTTGGATGGCATGGCACGCTCTATATCCCCTGACTCCCCACGCAGCCCCTGAAGGCACCCAAGTGTGCCGCCCCTAGCCCAGGGCCACCTCCTGTGAGACCCAGAGAGGGAAGAGACTAGCCTAAGCTCACACAGCAAGGTAGGGAGCCAACAGGAACAGGTCACTGCCTCCCATCGTGTCAGCCCTTGACCTGGACGCTGCTGACAAGAGGGGGCTTGAACCTGCTGTGTGTACCATGGAAAGAGGCCCATGGGGATGTCCCAGAAGAGATGACATCTCGAATTATGAATCAGTGGGGCCAGGGCATTGGGAGTGGGCGGATGCCCTACGGCGGCAGTTGGTATAAGGGCCCCAGCTCTAGTCAGTAGGTGGGCAGGCGGGGACAAGGCTGCTGCCTTGGTGCCGCAGGATTGTACAGGGAGCCAGGATACTCTGCCTGTGGTCAGTGAGAATCACGGCAGGGCTTTGGAGCACGGGGCAGATTTTCTTTCTAGAAATAGCTCCATGGTGGCATAGTTGAGCGTGTCACCAAAAGCCACACTAGTCCAGGGCAGGCATGTTGCAGGGGGTAGGGGTAGGTGACCATGAAGCAGGAGAGGAGTGGGGGGACACAGGGGCTGGAAGAGTGGATGGTAGAGAGCAGAGATCTGGCTGCTCCAAGACCCCTGCTGAGGCTGCTCTGCAGATGGCAGCCTGGCTGGCTATGAGAGGAAATCCCAGGGAGCCAGAGATCTGGGGGGAAGCCACCAGGCTAACTCAGGACACACCCAATGTGGGTTCCTAGGACAGCATCTGGAGCAGTGAACACGTCAGGACAGTGCTCACAAGTGGATCCTGGTTGGGGCCCATGGGCAGCCGCTGGTGGGAGGCTGCGGAAGGGGAGCCCTCAGGCAAGGCCAAGGCACAGTCAGACCCGGATGAATGAGGGACAGCAGAAGCCAGGGTGAGCTGAGTGGCAGATAAAAAGCTGCTGTGTATGAGCCACTGCCACTACCCGTGGGAACCCATGGGTGGGATCTGGCTTCATTGGGTGGCTGCATTTTCTTATTGGGTCCTAAGGGGGGGTGGGTCCAGGGCTCAGGTGCTGAGAATGAGAGTCACAGGTTGGCTGGAAACCTGTGGCCAGAGTCACCATCCCAGTGTGGGCATTGGCCACCCCATCCAGATTTAGGCCGGAGGGCAATAGGCAGTGGTATTTATGCCCATTGACGCTAGAGGCCAGTTTGCAGCAGGCGTGATTCTGGGAGGCTGTGCTCAGGACTTCCCAGTATGGTTGGAGTCGCTAGACCCCTTCTTCAGAGCAGGGACAATGAGTCCACCTTGAGCATGGTCAGTTGGCAGGTGCCAGCACAACGCACCACACCACACAGCATGGTATCAGCAGATGTTGAGTGAATGTGCCCCGGTTGAGGACGTTGCAGCCAGCCTGCCTGGGTAGGAGTCTATCATTCACTGTCTCACCTCTCCATGTCTCAGTTTCCTCACCCATAAGTTGAAAATTAAAAATAGTTCCTTCCCCTTTGGGAAGCATTGTAAAGATAAGCATTCAATAAGAAAATGCACGTGAAGTTAGCCACCGTTGCTGCTGTGACCCTGCATATGTGTGTGTGTGTGTGTGTGTGTGTGTGTGTGTGTGTGTGTGTGTGCGTGCACGCACGCTCGCACATGGTGGCTGTGGCTGTTGGCAGTGTCTCCTGCTGGCCAAGGGCGGGTGACTGTGTGACGTTCCTTGTGTCTTTGGGCTCTGGCCTTTGCCCACTCCAAACTGCTGCTGCTCCTGAACCACCACTGGCCCCAGCTATGGCTGGGATCACATTAAACCAGTGAGATATGAAATGCCACCATATCCGGGACAGGGTCTTTAATTAAATTAATTGCCGGCAACATTGTAAAAATGCTGATGGGGTCATAAAGAGCGGCATAGGCAATGCTATTTATCATCTCTGCAGACTCGGACTCGCTGGGGGCCACACCTGGGCTGTGAGATTGGCAGATGAAGAGCTGCCGTGTGTATCACCCCCATCCCCTGGGCTAGGGACAGGGGTGGGCATACCAGGCTGCAGCCACCAGGGATATCTGCAGCCCAACGGGGCACGAGGCAGCCATCAGCAGGGGTGACAGAAGCACCTCTAGATGGCACACCTCCTGCCTCCACCTGATTGGGAGCAAGGGTCCTGGCTTCCGGGTGCATTTGTGGGACACTCGCACTGTTCTTACTTAGCTGTAAATTTACCTGGTAAAGGACTTCGGAAGCTGGTACAGCAAAGTGAGAGTCATCCTCCAGCCGACAGGGCCATGCAGATCCCCATGAGCTACGGTCCATCTGAGAATCTAGTCCAGCTCTGCCACTGCTTGCTGTGTGACCCTGAGCAGATGCTTCCCCTCTCCGTGCTGGTTTCATGAGAAAGATAGGAATACCCTTTCCCCACCTGCCTGCCTTGCTCATATTCCAAGCACCCTCCTGGCCACCCTCCCAGGGTCTCCTGCCCTGGAAGGAACTGTGCCAGAAATTCTTTTCTGTCTGTTTCAGCTGGGGCTGCCACAGGTCCTGGCAGGACTCAGAGCCTGCGTGCCAGTCTTGTACAAGGGGTGACAAGGGGGCGGGGCCAACTGCCCGGCCACCTCTGCCAAATGAGAGGTGGAGGAGGCCACACCTACACTTCCACACCCACACAAACATGCACACATACGCATGCGCGCACAGACACACACACCAACACCAACACCCAAATCAGAAGTGTGCCCATGGCCGCGCACACACCAGCAAGAGATTCAAAGCAGGAAAAAGCCTGCCTTCCTTCCTTCCCATTCTCCCTGGGCTCTGTGACCACATAATTACCCTGGATTCCATTCTATTTAATTGCAGCTTATTAAATTCTAACCAGCCAATTATCAGCCACAATTACAGCTTAATTCGGGGACACAATAGCTATTTTATCGTTTGTTAATCAAATGCTTATTTAGACCTCAGTTTTATTAACTATTTCTCTGGGCTGAGGCAAGTCCCTTTGTAGGAAGGGGGCCCTGGGTAGGGTCCCAGGAGCCTGTCCCCCCATCATAACCTTCCCTTCCCAGGGAGTTTCCGAGTTGCTGGTGGGCTTGGAGACTCAGTGATGGCAGAGGTGTCAGTCGTGAACGGGAGCCCACCATGGACTGGGAAGTTGGAGTTTGTGCGTTGGTGCTTTTAGAGCATGTGTATGGGCCAGGCCCTGTGTGGGTGCTGGGACTACAGCAGTGAACAGAAAAACATGGTCCCCACTGTTGTGATACATTTTAGGGGAAAAGGAGAACAAAAAGCAAACAAAGGGAAAATAGGATGGGAAAGGGATGGAGGCTAGCGGGGTTACTTCAGACAGGGCCTTTGGGGCACCCTCAGAAGAGAGTCCTCTCAAAGGACCTGGCATTGGAGTGAAGACGGAGGGACTACGGAGAGGCAGCCATGGGGAGAGCCAGGGGCAATGAGTTGCAGGCAGAGGAAAGAGCAAATGCAAAGGCCCTGTGGTGGGATAAAACTGGAGGGTTTGTGAAACCAAGGGTTGACATAGATAGGCAAGACCAGAGACTGAGCCAGGAAAGCCCAGGTTGCCTGCCTGGCATCTGGCCCCAGCTCTTTGGCCAAGGTCCCTGCACTCTTAGTGGGTCACACAACCTTCAGCTGGTCTGAGTCTCATGTTGCCCATCTGAAAAGCCAGATGCAGATAGAAGGACCTGAGCACAGCTGCCAGATAATACACTGTCTCTGGCAGCTGGTGGGGGGCAACGTGACCCAGCCACGCACCCCGGTGGTGTGCCTGCCCTCTGTGCTGGTGAGGTGGCGCCGTCCCCACCCTGCCTGCTTCGTCCTTTGTGACCAGCCCATCTGCGTGTCCTTCTTGCGGCACCTGTGCCTGTCCCTGTGACCAGGCCCCTGGAGCCCACTGGGGAAGAGGTGACTTTCCTCCGATCTTGGGGAGGTGGCTGCTGCTTCTGTGACACTCTCATGCACGTGTCACCATGGAAACCAGAGTGCCGCATGCACACGTATGTGCATGAATGCAGGTTGGGGAAGCAGCCCTCCCTTCTGAGGGACACTGGGAGAGGCTGTGAGCCCCACCCTGGTCGCTCCGCCTCCTGCATGCTCCTAGATGGAAGAGACCATCATTGATCCCTCTTCATCCATTCAGCACACGCTGAGTCTGGACTCTGAACCGTCCCTGCTTTGCAGGGGCCCTCCTGCTGTTGGGAGCAAGGCAGGGGACAGAAGGTTGAGGGGCGGATGGAGGCCCTGGGAAGGAAGAGGAGTTGTGCATTCCTGACCCCACCGTGACCTGTGCAGGGCTGGCACTCCTTGTCCCATTTCACAAAGGAGGAAACAAAAAGGCTGTGGAAATAGGTGGTTTGCACACGGGTCTAGAGCTGGGCCCCATGAGGCCAGGGAAGTGGCTAGTGGGCAGCACAGAGGGATTTGAAAGAATTGTGGCACCCCAGCTTCACCTCCAGGCAAGTGTTGCCGCCTGGGACCTCACAGCTCTTAAATGTGCCTCCTCCCCAGATCTGTAGCCGCTGGCGGCACTGAGGGGTCTGGATTCCAGCCCAGTCACAGAACTTTTGTCTCCAGCTCTTGCACTCTTCCTCTACCCGCTATTCCCTCCCCCTCCTCCTCTCCTCCCTCCCCTCTCCCACCCCTTGCATATCAGGGCCTCCTAGTGCAGCTCCCTCATCATAGAATTGTCCATGTTTAAATAATAATAACTTATGCAGCCCTCTCAGGCCGCAGGATGCAACTGGCAGCAGAGTACAGCTCTTGCTTCCCCTGTGGCTGCAGACCTGGGCTGGGCCATGCTGGGCCCCTGCACCCCCTTGCCCCCCACCTCAGTGCCCAGTGACTTCTGTGTCATCTGCCTCCCTTGGAGACTGCACTCCCCACAGCAGGGTCTCTGCCTCCGCAAGGTCTGTGCTGGCATTCAAGGACTCCACTTCCCTTCCCAATGAATTGTTTGATTCATTGATGAATTGGAAGGTGAGTCTACCTGAGTCCTGGGCAAACAAGAATTTGTGTTTTCCAGGCCCAGCCTTTCATTTCTGGGTTATGATGCTGTTCCAGGGAATGAGGTTCAACAGACACTCTCTGGGCCCTTGCTGTGTGTCTGACACTGGCCAGGCTCTGGGGATAGATAGGAGATATGAATGCTTAGTCTCTGCTCACAAGGCTCTGACCATGTGAAGAGACACACCCATAAGTGGTGGCAGAATAATTTCCACTGGGCCCTCTGCAAGCTCAGAGGAGGTGTAGCCAGGACAGCCTGGTGGTCAAGGAAGGCTTCCTGGAGGAGATGGTATTTAGGCAAGACTTGCAAGGTTAGAGGAAGTCAGCCAGACCAGTAGGAGAGGAGCAAGTGGATGACTGGCATGAAAGGATCTAAATTCCTACTGGCTTCAGCCAAAACAAGAGTCTGTTGGCTCACGTGGCTGGGATCCAGGGGCCTTCAGGTCTGGCCAATCTGAGGCCTCCAGTGCCGGCAGCAGGGAGTCAGCTCCTCTCTCCCCTTGCTGGTCACATTCTCCAGGCTCCTGGTGTAGACCTTGAACAGCCTCCTCTTGCATCTGCTCCCCCGGCTCACAGAGGTGCCAGACAGACCTCTCCCATTGGTGGCCCCAGCACTCCAGCCTATTCATGGCTGCAAGCCCAGCAGAACGATTTTTTTCTTCCCTTGGCCCGGCCAAGATCCTGGAGTCGCATGTCTTCTGACAGGGGACCTGCATGTCACATGTCTGTGTGGGAACAAGGCCTTGGGGGTCCCTGTGGGAGAGGGAGCGTGCCCACCAGGGGCCAGGGTGGTCAGCCATCTGGACCGCTGAGGGGTGGCCCACTTGGAGGGAAGTCAGGCACAGTGAGCTGTGCTGTGGGGGGGAGGCAGACCCTGCAACAGAGTGTGTGAAAGCCCTTGAGGAGTATCAGATAGCCAAGCTATCACAGGACACGGAGGGCGTCCCTAGAGGTGAGGCCAGGCAAGGGGCACGATGCATCATCTGTGGCACTTTCCTCAGTAGCTTGGGCACCTATGTCACCTGTGGAACTGGACACCCAGTCCCAAGCAGACTACCACGTGCAAACCTTCACGGAGAGACTGCTGTGAGGCTCCCCTGACAGGCCGGGAGCAGCACCCTGGGTGAAGGGCACAGCCCTGGGCTGGTGGCCAGGAATGGGTCAGGCTAGAGAATGACAGAGACCGCTGCACCCAGCCCCCATTCCCTGCTCCTTTCAAGTCAGAACATTTTTCAGGGAAGTAGAAAAAGTGGCTTGCCGTCCAGCCCTTGCTGCGCTTCTGGCGGCCGGTGGGATCAGGAGAGGAGCAGATGGCAGGTGGGGGCTGCCAAGGGTGCGGGCTGCTCCGGGGAAGAAGCCCTCACCTCTGCTGGCTGTGGGAGGCCAGGTGACACCCTGCCCCCAGCCCTGCTACCCTGCTCCCAGGCACAAGGGCCTCGCTCAGTGAATACGAGTTCATTAATAGCTTGATTAATCACACCTCATATTTTCGTAGTGCTTTTAAAAATAAAACATTTGAAAGCACATTCACACCTACCCTGGGCCTCCCAGTTACACAGGCAGCTCTTATCTTCTCAAACTGCAGGTGAGGAAAGAGGGTGGGAGGTTCAGCCTCAAAGAGCAGTGTGTCCAGGTGTGGCTGGGGGCAGTCTGGAGTGAGCAGCCTTCTTCATTCCCCGGGCTACCTGTGCTCACTTTGCCCTCTCTCTGGGTTTTCCCTTGGATAGGTCTTCCTAGTCTCTAAAAAGAATCAGGCATCAGTCAGTCACTCAACAAACACTCTCTCAACATTCAGGCCAGACCCAGATTCCTGCCCCATGTGAGTTCATGGTGCTGATGAGAGGGGCAGGACCAGTACTGAGGGTGGTATAAGCCCTGGAAGGAGGCTCAGGAGATAGGACAGTTACCAGGGTGAGTGACAAAGAGTATGGATCCAGGAAGGCCTCCCAGAGGCAACACCTTTGCTGATGCTTCCCAGGTGGGCAGGTCCATCACCATACACTCTGCTAGATGCCTACAGCAGCTCCCCAGTCTATCTTCCACTGCTGCACCCCCCTCTCACTGGAGCCCCGCACGCAGCCCCCAGCACCTCCTCGGGTCCCTTACAAGGAAATCTCACCACTTTACTCTACTCTAACATCCCTGAGGTCTTGCCCCTCCTATTCCCTGACTGGGAGCCTCCACCACGCTCCCTCTGCTCTGGCCATGCGCCCGCCTGCCTGGCCCCAGACAAGCCGGCTGCTTCCTGCCTCGGGGCCTTTACTGTTCCCATTCCCACAACACTCTTCCACCTGGCCTTGGTGTCCAGGCGCTGCTCAGGCATTCCTTCCTGGCCTCGGCCCCTCTGGAGCCTCTCACTACTCATCCCCTTGCTGAAACATTTTCCCTTCTCCGTTCCTCGCTACCCTTGTCCACGTGGGAAAGTCTGGATTTTCGTTGTTTCCCTGGACTTTTGAGAGCCTGGCCTCTGTCCGTCTTGCTCACTCTTGTGCCCCAGTGCCCAGAACAGTTTCTGGCACGCAGCAGGCCCTCAGTATTTGTCAGATGCATTTCAGGTCATGGGAGAAAGTGGTGCATGTTCTAGGCTCAGCTCTCACCAGGGCCCCTACCCTAGGGTCTCTTTACCACTGGCCCTCAGCCCTCAACTTCTTTCCTTTCCTTTTACAGCTGTGTCCCCTTAGGTCCCCAGCCTCCCTACACACGCACATGCACGCACAGACACACACACACACACACACACACGTGTGCACCCACGTGCTCGCACATCTCCCCTCTTTCTCTGTCGCCAAGAAGCCACTGGGAGTGGGGGCTGATAGGACAGCTGCTCTCACCCTTGCTGAGGTGCCCCCTCTGGTTGACATAGGCAGCCAGGCTCTCCTGAAAGAAGCAGGGACAGATGACCAGCTGGAGGGCTCACCGCAAATAGGGTTCTCATTTCAGGGCCTGCAGCATCTCCGCAGGCCCATCCAGTTTCCAGTGGCCGAACATGCAGCGGGGATCTGCTATAAATGAAAGAAGACTTCTGAGCTCCAAGAGGGCAGCTGGACAGCATCACAAGAGGGTGGAAAGCCTTGACTGAAGCGTGGCCGAAGGAACCGCTGGGAAACTAGGGGTGTGCAGGGTTCAGGACATAGCAGGGCCTGTGAGGCCAGTGAACCTTGTACCTGCCCACTCTCCTGCAGCCCCAGGAGCCACCTGCAACCCAGGTGTGCCTCTCCTGGAAGAATGTTCCTGCCACAGCGATCCCCTCTACAGCCTCTAAAGCCTCAGCAATAGGCACCCCACTCCCAGTCGCCAGTTGCCAGCACCTGCACCAAGCAGGTGGCAGGGGCCAGGGATGAGCAGGGAAGGGCGGTCAGGTGGGGCGCGGAAGCCTCGGCCACCCACTTGCTTCTCCTGTGCTAAGAGCGACAGCACCAGTGAGGACAGGCCCCAGGTACAGAGAGGCTGAGATGGGGTTTGTGGTTTTCTGGGTATTTCATTAGAGAAGAGTATGGGAGGTGAGATGCTAGGGCCCGTGAGTTATCAGTGGGTTTTCTGTAGGGTTGACCGAAGCCAGAACTGAAGGCTCATGAATGCCAGCCAGAAGCACCTCCTGAGTCTACCCTGGCAGTCGGGGAGACAGGGGTGCAGGAGAAGCAGGCCTAAGGTGGGGCCATAGGGAACGGTGGGGACTGTGGCACTAGAGGTCTCTCGTGCTGTGTGGCAAGGGTCTTACATCATTTGACTCTGAGCATGCACTGGTTGGTGTTGTCCTTAATAAACAAGCACAAGTGTCATGCAGAGGAGAAAGAACACTCGCAGTTGTGGCCTGCGACATGGCAGGGGAGAGACCCTAGGCCCATGATGGGCCTTACTCCAGGTGAGAAGTCTAAGTGGGACCTTGTGCAGAAGGGGAAGACCACAGGTGGTGACCATAGGGTTGAGGTGACATAGTGAGCTCAGGGAGCTAGAGGGAGGGGAAGCTAGCTCTGACTGCGCAGGCAGCACCCCTAATCCCTAGAGGACATCCTGGAGGGCCTGAATTTACCACCCCCAGCAGCCTTAGAGTGTCCTTGCTGGAGGACATAGCTGCAGCCTAGAGGGTGCCCCCAGGGGCCACCCAATAAAGGTCCCCCCAGGAGGGGGTGGGCACACCAGCCTGGCGTGACGGAGGCCCTGGAGAAGTGAGCTATGTCCCTTATTGGTCACAGTACATTTATTTTTCATTAGCAGTTAAATGCAGACATGAGGGATTGTGCCGGGTTCAGCGGGTGGCTGACGTGAGCAGTGCTTGGCAGTGTGATCGATCGGGAGATTGCAGAATCTGGGGAATTGTGCACCACTCCCTGCCCCACACACCCAGCCAGGGATCCCTGCCCACCACGCAAGAGGCCGGCTCAGCCATCACCGTGAGCCTCTGTTTGCTATGGAGTTTGGCAGATGCAGATACAGACCTGCCCTGGGGAGGTTTGCATGATGCTCGTCCTCTACCCCAGCACCCCCTGCTCTGGGCTGCAGCATGGTTAGTCTCCTCTGCAGCCCGGGCATCCACCAAGATGCCATGGCTCGTCCTGGTCCATGCCTGCAGCGGTCACTGGACCTGCCAGCCCCTGCGGTCCCCACACTCCGGAGCCATCCTCACAAGCCCATCCCCTGCCATTCTTTCTCCAGACCTTGTGGGCCCTGAGGGGCCTGGGACACTGTCTGCCCAGTCGACAGCCAGACTCAGCCCTGCTCTCCCTGGGCCCACTGCCTGGGTCACAGGCTGGGCAGTAGCTGCTGAGGGACAGTAGAAAGCAAATGGGGGGTTGGCGTGTAGCTCAGTGGAAGAGTATGTACTTATCATGTTAGAGGCCCTGGGTTCCATCCCCAGCACCCCCCCACACACACACACACACAGTCATCAGGCAGTGCCCAGTGGGCATTTTGTGAGTCCAGGGTCCAAGGTGGGCTTTGAGGTAAGAGACTCAGGTTCCTGATCTGTAAGATGTCTAGATGGCTCCCCTGTTCTCCTGTATCCTCCACTTCCTGGGCCTTAAACCTACCAAGCAAAGGTGGCTCAGGTCAGTGGGATTGGGATAATGACCTTCATGTTCACCAACCAACCGCACATGTGGTTGGTGTTCATTACAGAGCTGCAGGAACATGCGACGAGATAGCTGCCAAGGGAGGTCACAGCGGGGAGAGGGCACCAGGGAGCAGCCAGTGTCTGGACACATTGTGGGGAAAGGAGGCAGACAGGTGGGGGGATGGGAGGAGAGGCAGGGTGCTGGAGGAGGGACAGCCCCACCCTGCTGTGTCAGCGAAAGCCTGCCACACCCACTGTGCCTCAGCGGGCGGCAAGGGCACCGCTGTGGCCCTCCTCCCCTTAGTAAATTTTCCCCTGCCCTCCTAAGGCAAGGTGCTTGCAGTTCTATGCCTCAGTTTCCTATCCCCTCCCCCGTGAAGAGCTGGTGCGAGCTGAGCTGAAACCCCTGGCTCTTGATGTCAGCTGCACTAAGTGTCTCACATGCCTGTCATTTTACCCTCAAACCCTAAGAACTGGACACCATCTGTCTTCCCATTGTGCAGGTGAAGAAACAGGCTTTGGGTGGGGTAGACCTGCCTGAAGTCACACGAGGCCCCTCAGCCTCTCGGCAGCATCCCCAGTTTGCCACCGGTGCACACCCTGTGCGAATGGCCACAGGACACACATGCAGCCATCAGAGCCATGGTCTGAAGATGGAGGGGCAGACTCCCGCCCTGGAGAGAGAGGAGCCTGGGAGTGGGTACTCGCTGGGGGCAGTCGTGGGGACAAGGAGATTGGCCTTCCCATTTAAAGCCCAAGTGGATGTTAGACTCCCATGGGCGGTGAAGTAGCCAACAACCAACTGTGTCCAGTGCCTCAGACTCCCCCATAGGCCCAGGGTGATCTCCACTTCACAGATCCCAAAGCCAGTGATTTCCCAAGGTCACCACCCAGCTCCCAGTAGCAGGAACAGAATGGGTTTTGTTTCCCTGTCTTTATGCCCAGAGGCCCCCATTAATTGTGGATGTGCGTTGGTGGGGGACCACTGAGCCCTGGGAGGGAGGCAGAGCTGAGGGTGCCCTCACTCTCTCCCCACCCCTCTCAGGGGTCCTGCTGGTTGCAGACGAGCCAGACTACTCTAGGGGCTTTACCTTCACCATTGCCTCAGAGCCAATTACCTGTGTAATTAGAAACAAATGACTTGTGGGATGGTTGTGGGTTTTGGTTAAAATTAGAAGGAAACCCATATTCAGATCTCCTTAAAGAGGTGGGAAGCGGCCCAGGTCCCCAGGATTCCCAGACACACAATGACTTCTACCCCGCTGTCTACCCCGCTTCCCCCAGCAGCCCCACCTTGGCAGCCCCTTCCCCACACTCAGCCTCCCTGGGCCCTCAGTGTCACTGCCCAGCACTTTCCACGGCCGCTCCCTTCCTTCAGTCACCTTGCATTTTCTGAGCATCTGCTGTATACAAGGACCAACCAGAAGCGGGTTCCTGGAAGCAGCCACAGGCCAGGGAGCCAGACAAAGAGACTCCATCCCAAGCTGGCCCCTGTCCTGCCAAGATCCCATCCACCTGCCTCCAGTTTTCCGCTCAGCTCCCAGGCCTGTGGCCTGCTTCGCTGGACCCCTGAACTTCTACCAGGGAAATAATGAAGCTGCACTGCTGCCATGTGTCCAGGACATTCTAAGCACTGAGACTTCCACTCTAGTTCACTGTGTCTCACCAGTTTGCAGAAGTGCATGGGCTGCTGCTTTCCGTGTTGTGCAGAGGAGGATACTGAGGCTCGGAGAGGGTGTCCAGTGGCCTGAGTTTGCCCAGCTGGGAAGTGGCTGAGCCTGCACTCACTCTCCTCCTGCCCCATTCCAAGCTAGGGCCTTTTCTGCTTCAGGGAGCCCCAAAGAGGCCCCAGCTTACTTTCTCCTTTGTTCCTATTATAGGTGCCCAGCAGAGCGCCACAGTGGCCAACCCAGTGCCTGGCGCCAACCCAGACCTGCTTCCCCACTTCCTGGTGGAGCCTGAGGATGTGTACATCGTCAAGAACAAGCCAGTGCTGCTGGTGTGCAAGGCCGTGCCTGCTACACAGATCTTCTTCAAGTGTAATGGCGAGTGGGTGCGCCAGGTGGACCATGTGATCGAGCGCAGCACAGATGGGAGCAGTGGTAAGGCCAGCTTGGGTGGCTGGTAGGGCAGCTGAGGGGAAGTAAGGCTCAACCAGCCCAAAGAGGCCTCCCAGGGCCTCAGACTGCACACCTATGAGCAGCAAGGCCCAGATGGAACCAGCTCTGTGCCCACCCCCTCCCATGTCACCAGCCAGGATTCCCAAGCCTGGGACCCAGTGTATACACACAGACCTTCCCGCCTCACTAGCTTGGTAGGGGAGTGAGAGGGAGGTCTCCCTCAAAATACCCTAGTGGCCTGGGATTTGGCTCAGTGGCACAGCACCTGCCTGGCAAGCACAAGGTCCTGGGTTCGATTCCTGGTTTTAAAAAATGCCCTAGTGTTTCACAGCAAGAGGTGGCAAGGGGGGCTGTCTGAGCCCAGGCTGGACTGGGCAGGGCCAGGGGCAGCCTAGCGAGAGGTGCCAGCAAAGAACTAGCCTGACATTTTACAGATTGGACGGCCTTGGCTGTGACCTGTCCACGAACCCAAAAGACACCCATACCCTCCTCCGCCAGGGTTTGAGGGGGGCGATCTCAGCCCACCAACAGGAGTCCCAAATGACCAGAACACTTGGCTTTCCCTGGCACCTCTCTGAAGTAGTAGTTCCTGGCAGGACTCTGTGCCCTCCACTGTCCTGGCCTAATGCATGCCTGCTGGTTGCTGCCTCTTATCTGCAGACCTCAGGTGTTCATTGCACACCTGCCCTGTGCTAGGCATCAGGTTAGGTACCAGGAATTCAAGCTCTATGGCTCTCAGGGCAGGTGATCCAGCAATGCCTCCCACTCTGAGGAGGGAGCCAGAGCATTACTGACCAGTGTAGTCCAGGAAAGTTCTGGGCACCTGCAGCACCTGTCAGGACCCTACCCTTCTGTATACACCCTCAGCACAGTTGCCTGAGGCTTCTCCATCCATGGGAACAGCTTTAGGGCCCAACTGCCCCAGTGGGAAGATCCACTGTGAACCTCAGGTAAGCTCCTCCCGCACACACTGGGCTCAGTTTTCTTATCCTTAAAATGGAGATGAGAACCCTTGCAGGTTAGTGGAGGGAACCCTGAAATCTCATAGGCCGGTTGGAGCTCTCCATGGGCCCTTTCCTTTCTTCCCACACTATGCCTGGGACCCAACACCACTTTGTAGCATGATGAGTCCTGCCACTGCTGGGGCAGATCCTCCAGGTAAGACAGGTGAGGAGGAAGGTGCAGCCAGAGACCCACTTTGCTGCAGCTTTGAAGACCTATCCTAAACCTCTCGGAAGGTTCCATTCCATCCCTTGTCTGACCAACACACACACCACACTGCCATCACGAGGTCTCAGGTATGTGGTTTGGCTGGGAGCCAAGTACTTGCTCAAATGAACAGTCACTGACCTGGTCCCGCATACAAATGGACAGCCCCCAGCCCACACTCCCAACAGCTCCTATAACCTTGCTCCATTTAAGCCAAGCAGAGAAGCAGAGCGCATGGAGACATGCCCCACTTATAACCACTAAGACCCTCTCCTGGCCTGGACTCCCAACCTCAGGCCTCCTGTGACCAGTGCATCTGAATGTTCATTGATCCCATTGATTTCTCACCCCAAAGCCATTGAGTGCTTGGAGGCGAGGAGAAAGGCTTCTCTTACTTACCCACAGGCTCTATGGCAGTGGCACCTGGCAAGTGCACAGACCAAACCAAAGCCCTGAACAAGTAACAGTGTGTGAGATAGCTGTGGCAGGGATCAGAGGTTCACCCAGATCCACAGTCCTGCCTTCGCATGTGGGGCTGGGGAGGCGGAATAGACACCCCCAGGAGGCAAGTGCCCATCATTTGCCTTCATTCCCCACTAGAAAGCCAAGGGAAGGGACCAAAGCCTGAAATGCTAGGACCCGAGTCTGCTGTCACTATAAAAGCCTGAGATTTACAAAGCTAAGCATTGGGAGAATAATTTCTTGCATATTAAAATTAATTGGTTACTAGAAGCAGATTGAGAAAGTGAGCTTCTAAGCTTGGCCTCTGAGCCTCTAGGCCAACTGTCCGCCTCCTACAAACTCAGCATGTCCCCACCCAGGCCCCACATGTGCCCTTATTGTTCACATATGAATGTACATCCCAGGCCAGCCAGCCTGGAATTCCTCCTTTCTTTCCATCCCTCCCCAAGGCTAGCACTTCACGTTTACCAGATAGGGGCACACACAGCTGTACCCAGGAACTGCCCCCAGGGACCAGGCTGCTCAGTTACCTGCAGGGGAGAAGAGCACAGCCCTTGCCATAGGATGAGGTAGGGTCCCCAGCTCAGGCCTCAACCCTCTCAGGGCTTGTGGGGCTCAAGGGGGACGAGATGACAGGCTAGAAGAGGGGGAGTGCTGTTGTCCCCACCCCGGCTGCCTGGGGTGTGCATGAGGTTACCAAGCTCTCAGTCCTAGCCCCACCTCCACCACAGAGAAGGAGGGGCCGTGGATAGACCTCTCCACACAGGGAAGGGAAAGTACCTGCTTCACGATGTTCTGGAGGTCTCCCTCCCCTAGCCCCAGAGGCAGAGAAAAGGACAAGTGAGGAGCGCTGTCTCCACTCTCAGTTCCTTCTCAGGCGCCCTCAGTCTCCATGTGCTGCACAGGTAGCTGGTACCCAGGACCCTCTCCTGTTCATGGTCCTTGTGGGTCCCCCTTGGTTCTCAGCCCCACCCTACACCCAGAGACATGCACACCAGGTGCCGTAGAGAGCGGGGCCAGGCAGAGCAGGGGATGGTGCCCAGAAGGCAAGAAGTAGCCTAGCAATAGCAATCTCAGCCAAAGGCGACACCCCCTACTACTGGCCAAGGGGACAGGGGCAAGTGGGCCCAGTGCACAAGATGGACAAACTCCATGAGGAAAGATCTGGGAAGAGGTCAGGAAAAGACACGTTAGAGAAATTACAAGGGAAAACAGTCTCCTGGCCTGCCCAGCTGAGCTGGGCTGTGCTCCTCCTGCAATGCAGCCCTAATTGAATTTCTCTGTTAACAATGGAAACACATTGGCTGCCTGGCCTCTCTCCCTCTTTGTGATAAGCCAATGACCTGAGGGAAATTGGGGTCAGGAGGAGGAGAAATTGGAAACAAACAGTCTTTTCTCACTGCTGGGGACACTGGTTTTGGCTGCAGCCCAGAGGAGGGAGAGGGCTGTCATCCCTCTTCAGGCTCCTCGGAGGGACCAGCCCCGCTGGCACACCCCACTACCTGGGGCTGGGTGTGGCAGATGGTGGGGAGCCGAGGCCCAGCTGGAAGGGGGTCCCCCAGCCCACCCTCATTGGGCAGAGCAGACCCTGGGTCCTTAATCACTGCCCAGCTTCCCCTCTGCCAGCTACCCTCTACCTCTTCCAGTGTTTCTCCCTATGGGATGGACACCCCAGCCCACCCCGGGGTGATCACAGAACCCTGGACACACTTTGGACTCAGGCTGCCCTGAGTGCCTAGGCAAGTTTGTGCTCTCTTATGTGGCTTTTTATCCAGGTGGGAACATTACCACAAGAGTGGATTGAGTGAGAGCATATCCCCACCACACTATATCCCAGGGGTCTATTATCAGACTACACAAGGGGAGCAGCAATTGTGTTAATAGCTTTTATCTTATCATGTGTCAGGATCTACCCACTGGCCCTCCAGACAGGTAGGCAGACCCTTCCTCATCCTCCTGTACCCACAAAGGCCCCAGAGCTCAGCAAGTCTGCCCTGCTCTTTCTGCTTGGGTTGTTAGAGGTGAGAACCTGTTGCCCACAGCTCTACCAGGAGCCCCTGTAGGAATATTTCTGTCAGCGACTCCAGGGAGATAAATCTTGGGTAACAGTAGAATGAATGGAAGTTAAAGAAACTTTACTCCTGGCCTCTGGGGGCTATAAATCAGCACCCCCTTGGGAGAACTGGAGTGCCCTCCAAGCTGAGGGCTTTTCTTGTCCATGCTTCCGCTGTGAGTGGTACAAGGTATCATCCATATGGGCGGGAAGCTCAGTGGTGGCCCCTGTCCCCCCAGGGCTGCCAGCCATGGAGGTCCGCATCAACGTCTCGAGGCAGCAGGTTGAGAAGGTGTTTGGGCTGGAGGAATACTGGTGCCAGTGTGTGGCGTGGAGCTCCTCGGGCACCACCAAGAGTCAAAAGGCCTACATCCGCATTGCCTGTGAGTCCCAGCCCACTCCCCCGGGGTGTCACCAGGAGAGGAGGAAGCAGACTTCCCAGAAGAATGGGTCTGGTCAGAAAACTCCATTACCCTGCCTTTACTGGGTAGAGGAAATCTGTACGGACATTACTAAACCTCCCCTGACCCCCCCTGGGCACTTAGCACTTCCTCCTGCCATGTACTCTGGCCCTGTATGACCAAGAAATAGGGCTGACCAGGCTGAGCAAGCACACAGACGAGAAGACACGATTGTTCTTCTTCCAGATTTGCGCAAGAACTTTGAGCAGGAGCCGCTGGCCAAGGAGGTATCCCTGGAGCAGGGTATTGTGTTGCCTTGCCGCCCCCCAGAAGGCATCCCCCCAGCTGAGGTGAGAGGGGCTCCCAGGCCCACTCCAGGTGGGCAGAGCTCCCAGTTTCTCCTACTCCTCTCCCCAGGGGCCACTGTGCTCTGGGCAGCACCAGCATGGGCTGGCCGTGCAGTCTTGCGGCTCCTCCCCCAGGTGGAATGGCTCCGGAACGAGGACCTGGTAGACCCATCCCTGGACCCCAATGTGTACATCACACGGGAACACAGTCTGGTGGTGCGGCAGGCGCGCCTGGCTGATACGGCCAACTACACCTGTGTGGCTAAGAACATTGTGGCCCGTCGCCGTAGTGCCTCCGCTGCCGTCATCGTCTACGGTGGGTCCCAAGGCTCCCCAGTGGTTGGGAGTGGTACTTCGGTGCCACCATGGGAGTGATGTATGGCTGGCAGAGTAGAGAAAGCCATGGAGCTAAGGCCAGGCAGACCTAACAGTGGCCTGGCCAGGTAGGACAAGGAAAGGGCTTGCACAGCGCTTGGTGATGCCAGGGATGTGACTGGGCAGAAAGGTAGGACAGGTCAGTGGTCATCTGTGGGAAAGAAGCATTGTGCAGGAGATGAAGGGATAGGATGGGGATCTGAGGAAGGCAATAAATCATCCCCTGTGCTCCTGAATCCTCAGAATGGGAAGTAGGGCCAAGTGGTCCCGGGCACACCAGGAGCAGGCAGAGTAAGATGGGGGAGTTGCCCTGTGAGAGGCTGGAATCTCGGCTGGAGATGCGAGCTCAGTTCTATTGGCTGCCCAAGCACCTACCAGGAAAAGCGTAGGTCATGCAGGAGACACTGCCAGCTTCTGGGGCAGCAGGCACGGGCTTGGCCCTCCCCCTCAGGGCTTCTCTCCCAGTACAGCCACAGCCCACTATTTCCAGCTCACAGCCCCTGTGCTCATCCCCGTCCCCTGGGCCAGTGTGTCTGAGGAAGCCCCCGCTCCCTGACCCCAGTCCTTCTCTGTCCGGCCAGTGAACGGTGGGTGGTCGACGTGGACCGAGTGGTCCGTCTGCAGTGCCAGCTGTGGGCGCGGCTGGCAGAAACGGAGCCGGAGCTGCACCAACCCGGCACCTCTCAACGGGGGCGCCTTCTGTGAGGGGCAGAATGTCCAGAAAACAGCCTGCGCCACCCTGTGCCCAGGTACCAGCGGCCACGGCCTCCCGCATCGGTCTCACCACGTCATCTCCGTGCCCCGGCTCCATCGTGCCCACCAGCCTGCCCCCCCATGGCTCCATCACACCCGCCCGCCATGCAGGGCCAGGCTAAGTCTGAGGCAGGGATATTCTGCAGTGTATCTTCAGAGTCAGGGCTCAGTTACTGTTCAGGCTTGGGGCTCAACACAGGGTCTGAGTCACAGAGTATAACGTATGATCTAGGACAGGGTCTGGAGCTCAGCCTGGGGCTGCAGAATCTACCTGTGCTTGGGACCAGAAGGGTCATCATTTGATTGAGCGCTCTTACTACCCCAGAACCAGAATGGCCTCCCTGGAATGAGGAGAGCCAGCAGCCCCTGGCGTCATCCACGCCTCCCCGTCATTAGCATGTATGTCATCAAAGCCAGCTGGATACTGGAGGGTGTGCAGATGGGTGGGCCTGGCCCTAGGATCATGCCAGGTCCAGGTCAGCTCATCCTGCCTGGTTCAGATGCCTAGTGGGGCTACACTGGCAGACTGCCTGGGACTGGCTTCCCAGGCTGACTGCCCTGTCTCCTCTCTGCCTGTCTGTCTCTCATCTAGTGGATGGCAGCTGGAGCCCTTGGAGCAAGTGGTCAGCCTGTGGGCTCGACTGCACACACTGGCGGAGCCGTGAGTGCTCTGACCCAGCGCCCCGAAACGGGGGTGAGGAGTGCCGGGGCACTGACCTGGACACCCGCAACTGTACCAGCGACCTCTGCGTGCACAGTGAGTCTTCTCTGGGGAGGTGGTTGTTCCCCTAAGGAACAACTAAGGCGGTTGTTCCCCTGCCACAGGTTGCTTCCCTCTCCAAAGCTCAGGACTCTCAGGGAACTGCCTTTAGCCCTAACACGTGCCCATGCATGCTCACCACCTCTCATGCCTCCTGCGACAGGCATGAATTTCAACTTTGACTTGCGTACACCCGTCTGTTCACCCAAACACCTCTCCTACAGCCTCACATCCACCTCAACCCCCAGGTGCACACACAAATCCTATGGGGATGCCAGGCTTGTGAGGCCTGTTAATTACAGGGCCATAACTAACAATTAAAGATCTCTGTTGGAGTTTTTTCTCTAGAACACACCCTCCCCTGTTCTTTCAATTAAAAACCTAATTATCTGTGTCAATTCCTTTCTGATGGACATTTCTTCCATTATGCAAAAACCCTTCTAAAATCAATATAGTTTCCTCCAAGCAGTCAATCTCCTTTCCCCAGCCCAGTTCCAGGCCTAGGAGAGACAGACAAGGAGAAAGGCCTGGGGACTGACCTGAAACCACACAAGAAGCAGATCCCATGTATATTCATCTTCCATTGCTATACTGAGATACTTGAAGCTGGGTACTTTGTAAAGAAAAGAGGTTTATTTAGCTCACAGTTTTGGAAGTAAAACCTCTAAATAGTATGGCAGTGGTTCTGGCCCCCTTACCTACATGAATTAATGGTGGATGGCATCAAGGTGGGAGCTCATGCAAGAGGGAGAGATCACATAGAAAGACAAGAACCCAGAGAGAGAGAGAGAGAGAGAGATCAGGGAGGAGGCAGTCTTGCTCTTTCACAGCCTTCTCACAAGAACTTACAAGGGTCCCACAAAAAATACCTTAATTCTAAGGATAATACCCCATAACCTAAAGACCTCCAACTGAGCCTTATTTCTTAAAAGTCACACCACCTCTCATATCATCACACTGGGGACCAAATTTCCAATATATGAACTTTGGGAATAGCACCCTGCCTTGGGAGTCCCAGAGGCTCACTCCAGCCCCAGCTACCCTGGGGCAGTGCTCAGGTAGTGGGTTCAGCAGGGAGCAGGTTTAGCCTAGTATTCAGGCACCAGGCAGCCCACTTCGAGGACATAGCTTCTCCCCTCATCCATTCTTCTGGAAGCCACCTCAGTCTGAATCTCATGCCTAAGAAAAATGTGAGTTGCTCAGAGTCACAAGCAAGGTATGGCAGGTACGGAGCTAGAGTGTACACATGCCAGCTTCACGCCCCTTACCCCAAATGTCCACTGTCCAGCTAGTGCTGATATTCATTTGCAGACCTCATCCTCCCGGCTGTTGCCCACTGACCCCTCCTTCCGAGCCCCACACCCCTGCCTGTCCTAAGGCCATGGTCTCTTCTGCAGCTGCTTCCGGCCCTGAGGATGTGGCCCTGTATGTGGGCCTCATTGCTGTGGCCGTGTGCCTCGTCTTGCTGCTGCTCGTCCTCATCCTCGTTTATTGCCGTAAGAAGGAAGGGCTGGACTCAGATGTGGCCGACTCATCTATCCTCACCTCAGGTTTCCAGCCTGTCAGTATCAAGCCCAGCAAAGCAGGTAAGATGGCACCTGCCCCCTGCACTCTTGCCCAAACCCCCACACCAATTACCCCTGAGGAGGGGAGGGGCAGCCCTCAGTGCCTTTCCCTGAGCCTGTTTTTATCCCTGCAGACAATCCCCACCTGCTTACCATCCAGCCAGACCTCAGCACCACCACTACCACCTACCAGGGCAGTCTGTGTCCCCGACAAGATGGGCCCAGCCCCAAGTTCCAGCTCACTAACGGGCACCTGCTCAGCCCTCTGAGTGGTGGTCGCCACACGCTGCACCACAGCTCACCCACCTCGGAGGCCGAGGACTTCGTTTCCCGCCTCTCCACCCAAAACTACTTCCGCTCCCTACCCCGTGGCACCAGCAACATGGCCTATGGGACTTTCAACTTCCTCGGGGGCCGGCTGATGATCCCTAATACAGGTAGGACGGACTCCAAGAGGCAAGAGTAGCCGCTGTTTCCCACCTGGAGCACAAGAACAGCCCAGATGTTCCTCCTGGGCTCCACATTCTTACCCTGGAGTGAAAGCTGAGCCACCAAGTGAGGGTTAAAGTTGTAGAAAGAACTCTACTGGGGCTGCAGGAGAATTGGCATTGGGACTGGCCAGAGCTATCTCCCTTCTGTTGCCTGTGGAGACTGTTGGCCATTCGTTTATGCAGACTGCCTACATGTGCCGGGCTCTACGCTGGGCCATGGGCTCAGAGGTGGGGCACATAGCAGCCCTAAAGGACTTACAAATAGGCAGAGAGATGGCAGAGACAAATGCAGAACGGCACAGGCCAGACAGGTGGCCTCTTGCAGACCCCACTGCATCCTGACTTCCACCCTGTACTTCACAGTAATCCCTCTGACAGGGTCCCCGAGACACCCTACTAGGGAATCCAGGGACACTCTTGTGGCCCTCTTGGGAGAATCACTGCAGCCTTTGGTGAAGCCGCCTGCTCCACCCTGAATTCTCTATTCCCTCAGTTTCGGCAACCCCTGGCTTCTTTGCCCCTCTCTGGCTGTTCCTGGTAGCTGAATTTAAGTGTTCCTCAGAGCTCACTCCCAATGCCCTTCTCCTCCAGTGACCTTCCCCCACGCCGTGGCTTCACAGTCACTGCGTCTGTGCTGACCTCTCCCACTTCTCCAGCCCCAGCCCACCATTTTCCTGGGTGCCACAACTGCACACCCAGCTACCTCTTGGGCAGCGCCATCTGAATGTCTCACAGCACCTCAGATTCCTTGTGTCTAAACCAGAATTGTCTCCCACCCTCCCTCAGTGCCCGCTCCTTTACAGCTTTCCCCAGCTTACAGCAGAGTCTAATTGCTCAAGCCAGAAACCAGCTGGAGGTCACCTTGACTTCCTGCTCTTCCTCACTTGCCCCCTAAGCCCCATGCCTGCTTCAGTCACATACCAACTCCTGTGTAGCTCTCCCACCTCCGTAGTTCTTACTTCCCTTTGCCTCTTATCTTACCCTGATGTTTCTCCTGGCTCAGGCTGCCACACCCTTTACCTCATTTCCAGCCCCCAAACATTTATCCAGTGAATCCAGAGTTATGTCCCTACCTTGCTCAAACCCCTCCCGGAGTTCCCTGCTGCTCCCTGTAGTGTCCATATGACAAGGCAGAGGCGACAAGGTGCTGTGGCCTCTTCCCTCCCACATGTTCTTCTCCTGCATATGGCAACCATGTAAAACTCTCAGCACCCCCAACACACCATGCTTCTGTTTGTACACAAGAGTGCCTCTATCCCTTCCACTGGCTCATCTGCTATTTTCCTTTGAGTCCTACCCTGACAGCTCTTGTGCTCTGTGCCTCTTGTCCCCTCTGGACACAGAATGATAATGAGGCCCCCACAGGACTATTACAATGATGTGGTGAGGTAGTTCCTGTCAGCTGTAACAAAGAGGCAGGAAAACAATGGGTGCTCAGTGGCCACTGACCCTCCATTTCCCTGGTCGGGTGGGGAAGCCACCTGTCCCGCATCCTTTCTGCAGTTTTCTTTCTCCCCGGTGGGCTGAGCTTCATGAAAGCAAGTCTATTGTTTCCCTAGCTTTCCTGAGTGTCTACTATTAGTATTCTTGGAATGTACACACCAGGGTGTGTACTTCCCCCATAGAGAGGATTCACACCAGGATGTGTGGGATCAGCACCAACACCAGCCACACTAAGTACTAAGGGGCAGCGTGGGTTAGTGAAGGGAGCGATCACTGTAAATATGCCCTCAATGTCTCTATCTGCTGGGTTTCACTTCTCTAAAATGCAGTCATGCATCACTACATGATGGGAATGTGTTCTGAGAAATGCACCCTTAGGCATTTCTTAGGCATTGTGTGGACACCACAGAGTGGGATTATGAAAACCTGGTTAGCTCTGATATCATTAGGTGACATAATCTCATGGGACCATTATTACATATGCAGTTCGTCATTAATGGGAATATTATGTGGAGCACAATTGTCATCCCATTCTGGCTCAGCTCATCTCAGAGATACCCACTTGGGAAAGTATGTTTGCTTTTGGGATAAAGTCATAGAATATCCATCTCACTTTTCCCCTGGGCTGAGATGGGGGCTCCTTTCTGATACAGAGGCTCTCTGTTTTAGGTGGAGGAGGGCCGTTCCTTGCATTTCCCCTGAAGTGAATTCCAGGCCCCTGTCCTTAACATATCCTGTCCTGTTCTCTCCCTCAAGCCTCTTCTCTCCACAGATGCTCTGATCCTGCTCCTACAAGACATTGGGGCAAAGGCACACACAGCAGCCAGACCTGGGAGAGTCCTTTTGGGCCAGCACCCAGATCTAGGAGGGCTGTCAAAGCCTGTGGAGTTGTTTAACTCAACTCTGCCTGCAAGGACAGAGAAAGTGGCAAGGAGTGTCCTCTAGGCCCTAGAGGGACCTGGGCCAATGGAGAGGGGAGAAGCTGGAGCAGGGCAGGATGGCAGTGGTAACAGAACTTCTAAGTATGTAGCATGGCTGGGCTGGAGCTGCTGCTGGAAGGACAGTGGGACCAGCAGTGAAGGCCTTTAGATGCCAAGCCGGGAAGCTGGACTTTATCACAAGTTAGGGAAGACTTCAAGCAGGAAATGTCATGGTCCCAGCCAGTGCCTTTTGGGTGACACAGAAGGTAGGGATAGCAGACCTGGTGCCAGAGTTTTCTGTGCCCAAGCTAACTATGCTTGCTTTTCCTACCTCAGCTGTTCCTCAGCTGTCCCTGGCTTGACTCAGCTTCATGCTTGTGTGAACGGTTGAACAGCGTGGCAATCCTTACAGCCCCTGTGACCTCAAGCCAGGCTGGTACTGGCCAGTCCCCAGCACAAGACTTATGGAAGGGCTGGCTGGTGTGTTGTTGAGTATCTGCATCAAGTAAACCTGGGCCTCCTGCTCCATTACAGGAATCAGCCTCCTCATCCCCCCAGATGCCATCCCCCGAGGAAAGATCTACGAGATCTACCTCACACTGCACAAGCCAGAGGATGTGAGGTGTGGACTTGGGCCCTGCTGCTGGGGCTGGTAGGGTCCTGCCTGCAGCCTGTTCCTGGGATGCCCCCTGCCCAGTCCCTATTGGGCCTGGCTGGCTTGAGGGAGGGAAGGGGAAGAGCCCACCAGATCTTTAGCCTCTTACCCTGGGGTAACATTCCCCTGACCCCTGGCCCCTAGGACAGGCCACTGACACCTTTCTCCTTCCACCCATGTTTCCCCACTTGAGGTTGCCCCTAGCTGGCTGTCAGACCCTGCTGAGTCCCATCGTTAGCTGTGGTCCCCCTGGAGTCCTGCTCACCCGACCGGTCATCCTTGCCATGGACCACTGCGGGGAGCCCAGCCCTGAAAGCTGGAGCCTGCGCCTCAAAAAACAATCATGCGAGGGCAGCTGGGAGGTGAGTAGGGGGTATCCCTGAGCTTGCCCACATGAGCACTGGCCTCAGCATGGAATGTGGCCTCCTGTGCACTCACCCTAGGCTCTCAGCAGCTATGTAGCTCTGTACTGTGCCCTGACCCCTCCTAGATCTCTGGCTGCATCTCAGAGCAGGGGGTGGCTAGAGGGCTCTGAGGCTGGTGGAACCCACCCTTGGGCTCTGCTTGCAGGATGTGCTGCACCTGGGTGAGGAGGCGCCCTCCCACCTCTACTACTGCCAGCTGGAGGCCAGTGCCTGCTACATCTTCACCGAGCAGCTGGGACGCTTTGCCCTCGTAGGAGAGGCTCTCAGTGTGGCTGCCGCCAAGCGTCTCAAGCTGCTTCTATTTGCCCCTGTGGCCTGTACCTCCCTCGAGTACAACATCCGTGTCTACTGCCTGCATGACACCCACGATGCACTGAAGGTACCAACACCCGCCTCCCAAACCCCCAGCCCTAGGCATGGAGGCCCTTTGCCTCAGGGGCAGTGGGGAGGGATCCTCTAATGCTCCAGGCTCTGCTTATCATCTGGGGCCCTGCAGGAGGTGGTGCAGCTGGAGAAGCAGCTGGGTGGACAGCTGATCCAGGAGCCTCGAGTTCTGCACTTCAAGGACAGTTACCACAACCTGCGCCTATCCATCCATGACGTGCCCAGCTCCCTGTGGAAGAGCAAGCTTCTTGTCAGCTACCAGGTAAGGGCCAAGCCCACCACCAGCACCCAAGGGGCTAGAGCTGGACACACCTGACATCTCTTCTGCCACCCCCCAGGAAATCCCCTTTTATCACATCTGGAATGGCACGCAACAATACCTGCACTGCACCTTCACCTTGGAACGCGTCAGCCCCAGCACCAGTGACCTGGCCTGCAAGGTGTGGGTGTGGCAGGTGGAGGGTGATGGGCAGAGCTTCAACATCAACTTCAATATCACCAAGGTGGGCCGGAGGGTTGCGTGCTGTCACCACCGACCCCCAAGAAATGTTCCATTCCCTGGACCAATTCTGTCTACCCTGCCACCAGCCCCTTCTCCGTTCCCCATAGCTTCTCTTTCTAGAAACCACTTGGCACCTCCCTGCAAGTGTCCTGGGGTAGGAGATGCAGATGTAAAGGAACTTGGCAAGGGGCAAACAGGGTGGGGGAGCAGGAAGAGGAGAGGGCTGGTGGGAGCCCTGAAGAGCTTCCCTGAGAGGACTTTGTACTGGTCCCAGGATGAGCGGGTCTTGGACAGGCATCAGTGTGGGAAAGGGCATTTGTGGCAGGAGAAACTGAGTGGGGAGGACAAAGGCCATGAAAAGAGAATAATTAGTGCTGAGTGGTCAGCAGAGGCCGGCAGGCAGAACTAAGTGAAGGTGAAGGTGGAAATGAGGGTGAAGGTGAAGCTGGAAATGGAGGGGAATGAGACCGGAGGGCTCTTCTGTGCAACGGCTATGATTTTGGGCAGGTCGCGCACTTGTAAGCCGCAGGCTCGAAGAGTAGGGCTCTGATGGTGGAGGGGCAGGGAGGTGGGGTAACCTCGGAGGCCCCAGTGTCCTTGCTACCCCCAGCTCTGGAGTGGTGTGGGAGCTCCCTCAGCAGAAGACTGCAGTGGCCAGGTCCTCACAGGCACCTCCTCCCTGGCTCTCCCCACCTAGGACACGAGATTTGCTGAGCTGCTGGCTCTGGAGAGTGAAGGGGGGGTCCCAGCCCTGGTGGGCCCCAGTGCCTTCAAGATCCCCTTCCTCATTCGGCAGAAGATCATTACCAGCCTGGATCCGCCATGCAGCCGGGGTGCCGACTGGCGAACTCTAGCCCAGAAACTCCACCTAGACAGGTGGGTGGAGATGGGTGGGGAGGAGCTGCAAAGGTCACCCACAGTCCATCCCGGGCAGATGGGTTGGCTGGGGTGGACAGGAGACCTTGTGGGCCTATGCCACATCCTCTAGTGTCTGGGCAGTCAGTGCACTGGGCTGAGGAAGAGGCCCTATCCTCAGGTAGGAAACAGGAGGTGGCAGGCCAGGGTGAGGCCACGCCACTGACGGGCTTCCTCCTTTCCACAGCCATCTCAGCTTCTTTGCCTCCAAGCCCAGCCCCACAGCCATGATCCTCAACCTGTGGGAGGCACGACATTTCCCCAATGGCAACCTCAGTCAGCTGGCGGCAGCAGTGGCTGGACTGGGCCAGCCAGACGCTGGCCTCTTCACAGTGTCAGAGGCCGAGTGCTGAGGCCAGCCAGGCCAAAACGCCTACACTCTCACCAGCTTTGGCACCCGCCAGGGACAGGCAGAAGCCGGACAGGGGCCCTACCCCAAACTGGGGCGATCAGCTTGGACAGGCCCCCTCCTGGCCAATGTTGTCCCTTAACGCTGGTCCTTCAGACCCTGCCTGAACTCCAGTTCCTCCATGGCCTGCCTAGGCAGGCAGGCACAGCCACCTGCTCACTCTGTCCCAGCCCAAGGTCCCTGCAGGGACACTGCCTGGAACCTGGGCCAGGCCCAGCCCATCTGTGTGTGTATATGTGTGTGTGATGCTACCTCTCCTCCTGCCCCTCATCAGGGGCCCCGCATACACACGCCATGCATGCACACACTGGGCTTGGACATGGCCCCAGAGCTCCTGCCAGAGCTGGGCCTTATGCAAACATTTCTGTGCCTGGTGGGGAGGGGCACAGCTCCAGGCCTGCGGGACCGAGGGCCCAGCCAGAGAGGGGGCTGCCCCTGGATTCAGGCACACAACCACCACACAGGCATGTGCCCACGCATGCCTCGTGTGTTCATCTCACACACACCCACTCCTGGGTCATGCAGACCCCACCACCACCACACACATCTCCTGCTGTCACCCAGAGGCCGCTCACGTCTCTCACGCCCGGTGTCGGTACACATCTGCCTCTCACATGCTGCCCTCTTCCACCCACCCAGGGACACCCGATGGCTCCTCCCTAATCCTGCCCCCCTGTCCCCAGCCTCGAGGTGTCCTGCCTGGCGGGGCGTGAATATGCAATGGGAGTCCCGGGCTGTACAATGGCGAGTGTGTGTGCCATGGTGTGCCCGTTCCTGGGGCTGGCCGGTGCCCCTGCGTGGGGCCTGTCGTGTGAAGCTTGTGTCCTGACTCTGTCTTAAGTGCGTTCATGCACTTACACTTGGCCTTATGTACACAGCCTTGCCCGGCCGCCGGGGCACGTAGGGATTTTAGCGGACGTGAATGTAAATAAATTATATATATATATTGCTAACCTGTGTGCTACTTTCTTGGGGAAACCAATGGGGTGAGGGCAGATGGCCACAGGGGGTCACATACAGGCTGTTCTGAGAGTCCTGGTATCTGGGCCCAGCCCTGGTCCAGCAAGGCTGGGGCTGAATTACTGTGGTTCCTGGAGATTTCCTCAGACACGGGCCATCTGAGCAAGGCGACAGGCGACAGCAGTGACCAAAGCCGCACCTTTGCCAGACCCGTCTTCTGACTGCAAGAAGGTGACCACACAGCGAGGGGCCAGCTCCCGTACTGTGGCAGCCACAAGACTGGCAAAGCTGTAAGGGAGAGGAGCTAAGGTTAGCCCCAGCCACCAAGGCTCTATCTGGTCCCACCTGCCCATGCCGCCCTGCCTGGCCCCTTCATCCAGACTCACTGAGGATGCACCTTGTAGAGGGTCCCATCCACCCCCACAGACACTGTCAGCTCCTCCAGGCCCCGGTTCTCCCGGATCTTCTCCACAACAGCAGCCACACCTGCCCCACAGAGTTGGGCAGCCCGCCGGGACACAGCCTGGCACACCTCTAGGACTATCAGGGCATCGTCTGAGGTCAGGGGCAGCCCCAGATCCTCCAGGATGGCTCGGACCTGCCGCAGGGCCAGGCTGTCGCTGGGGGCCAGGAAGGAACAGAACACAGAAAGACATGGGCCTGTGTTAGCTCCCCTACACCCCATCTTCAAGACTTTCCACTTCGTCCTCCAGGTTGGACCCCACACACCAGCAGCCAGCATTCCCCCAGTGGGCAGACAGACTCCTTTGGGAGGTGGGGAGGCAATTCAGGCCTCAGGTACCTTTCAATCTCAGAGAGAAACTTGGTCTTGAAGATGTCCCTGGTCTGAAGACGCTGGGTCTGCTGGCCCCGGAAGAGAACACCAAGGCTAGTCAAATGTAAGAGGATGTGGCGGACGATCTCCCCTAGGTACATGCCACTGATCATCTTCTCAAACCTATAAGAACATGTGTGTATGTGTTTGCCTAGAGCACAAGACCCCACCAGCTACCATCACCAGTGCCAGCCACAGGCAGCCAGACCTGCCCAGCCCCAGGCCACACCTCTGCTTGCCAGGATTGATGGATGCCTGGTCCACCCTCACATCAAAACAGGTGCTGAGCATGCCCAAAGAGCCATCATCCCCAAAGGCACCCCACTCCATGTTGATGCACATGTGGCCTGAGTCCCCGGCCACACCTGCCACATTCCGGAGCTCCTCCATGTAGCAAGCATTGGTGCCAGTTCCTGCAGAGGCCAAACAAGGTGGATTCATGTACTAATACAGACAAGGCCCCTCTGAGCACTTACCACACAAAAATGATAAAATTTAGGATCCCTACTTTATCTTCCTGCATTCAAAACCTGTCCCTGGTCCCGTTCCTCCCTCCTTCCTGAAGTCCCTAGTGAAAGACTCGGTTAGCACCAAGGCCTTGAGGCCTCCACAACTTCCCCTACCAGCACCACAATCAGTGTATCTACCTTGCTATTAAAGTGCACCCACAAAACCCATCAGAAGGCAGATTTCCCATTCTTCATAAGTTTTCCTGTCCCTTTTCTAGCTATCAGCTGGCTACATGGTAGGTGTTTAATAAAGACTTAGGATCTTAGGCTGCTGAAGGGTTCTCTTAGCTCATCACTTCCCCACACTCAGCCCAGTTTCAAACACTGAGTATGAACCATGAGCTAGGCACTATGCCACACTGGCCTCTCTCATATCTTCATGATGCCCTGAGACAGGCATTGTTATTATCTACATCTTAAGATGAAGAAACTTCAGCTCTAGTGACTTGCCCAAGGTCATACAGGTAGAAATGGCAAAGCTAGATTTTCCACCCAAATCTATATGACTTCAAAGCATAGATTCACTTTCCAGATGGGCAAACTGAGGCTAAGAAAGATTCAGTGACTATGAATCTGTAGCTCAGTTGGATTAAAGAGCCCAGTCCCAGATTCCCAGCCCAACTTAGTGTTTGAGTCCCTATTGGGTCAGACAAGTATAATCCTACATCCCCAAGGCCAAGGAAACATCCAACCTGAGGAATCAACAGGAGACAGCAAATTATCAGGAAGTAGGTCATGAAAGGGCAGGGCCCTCCTCACCAACAATGAGGCCCATCTCACACCGGGGATCCTCATAGCCACAGGACATCATGGTCCCCACTGTGTCGTTGACAATGGCAACCACATTCAGCTCCACTGCCTGCATGTAAAAAGGATGCTGCTAGTTACTGGGCAACAGCATTGTCATGGCAACCAGCAGTGGACCCAGAGGTCTCTATTGCAGAGGGCCTCCCTTCAGGAATCCAAAGACACTTTGGTCCCCTCAAGACCTGCCATGGTCCCAAAGCATTCCTAGAGACAGGCTCCTACCTGTCTACGCCTGATGGCTTCCCGCAACAGATGCACTACGTCTTGGCCCTCACAGCCTGATGCATTGAAACCCTTAGTCCAGTTCAGGAGGATGCCCTGGATGGGACCAAGAAGGGACAGAAAGCTGAATGATCCCTTTAAAGCTCACTCTGCCTCCCCAATGCCTACATCCCACCAGAAGCATATGATTCCAACCCTCCCAAGCAGGACTCCTTGCCCACTCTGCCCTACAGTCACAGGCCTTGCTTTCTACTCCCTCCCAACTCCCCAGGAGGTTTTCAATGTGAAGAGACCTATTAATAATGATTCGACCTACGTCTTCCATTATTAGTTCCAGGATGCTCAGATGGTCTGAGGGTCTGGTCATTTTAAGACATTTTCCCAGAAGGAATGGCCCTTCTTAATTGGGTTAGGAATGAACAGACCTGGCAAAGTGAATGTTATATGTAGGAAAGAGAGGGACAGAGAAAGCTCAAGGGCCCAAATGCCAGCAGAATGCACCCTTTCTTAGAGAAATTACAAGAATCACTTGAAAGGAAGGAGTTAGGGATGGAGTTGTGTCAATGCAAAATTCACTCCTTTGTTCCAGATATGGGTGAAGGACAAATAGAAAAGCCAGACATCTGTGCAGGATGGGCAGGGGCAAGACAGACACAGTTTTATTGTGAGCAACTGGACTTCAGATAGTGACAAGGGGCTTGACTGTACCTGAAAAGGACTGTCCTTTTCTTAGTGTGCTTTTCTGAAGAGGCAAGGAGAATGGGAATGAGACTATACCTGCCAGGCAGAAGCACCAAGAGAACAGGTCTGAAAATCTTTGAAGCAGGAGATTTTTTTTTCTAGTACTGAAGATTGAACTAAGCTACATTCCCAGCCCTCCTTTTGTTTTTTATTTTGAGACAGGTCCTGCTGAATCACTAAGTTACTCAGACTGGGCTCAAACTTCCACTCCCAACAACCTCAGGCTCCCAGAGTGCTAGAATTACACTAGGGGTGCCTCTCCACCCTTGGCTGTTTTTTGTTTTGTTGAGACAGCAGTCCCACTGCGTAGCCCATGTTGGCCTCAAATTCCTAGGCTCCAGCAATCCTCCTGACTCAGTCTCTAAAAAGACTACAGGTGTGTGCCACCATGCCCAGCTAGGGAAAGAGATTTGAGAAATAGTAACTAACCTTTTCCCCTAATGTATTTTCTTTGATCTCTTTTCCCATTATATAGCAACTAGAGTGTTCTATGGTTATTATCTCAAAAGGAGAAATGAGAAACAGACAGAGAGAGACAGAGACAGATAGAGGCAGAGAGAGAGAGAAAGAGAGAGAGGGAGAGAGAAGAAGAGGAGGAAGAGGAAGAAGAGGAGGAAGAAGAAGCAGTTTGAGAGAGACCAGATGATGGCTAATAGCTGAATTTCCCTGCTCCCAAATGAGTCAGACTTTCTGGTCTGGGAAAGGGGAAGCAGAGTGGAAATCAAACCCAGACCCAGGTTTTCAATGGCTTCCCAAGAAAGATGTCCTATGCCCTCCTTCCTGGGCTAAACTCCTCTGGAGGTCGGGGTGAAGAGGGAGACAGAAGGGATCTGAGCAATCTGTGAGTAGAGGAGGCCCCTGCCCTCCTTCTGCAGGTATCAAGGGACGTACTAGCGAGGTATCAAGATTGGAGATGAATTGGCAGAGGAGGGCACCCAGAGAGCTAGGGTCTGGGCACGTCCCAGATTTGCTCCTTTACACAGAAAGGACGCTGTGGAGCTGAGAGAAGTTCCTACTTAGGAAAGGGACTCCCTACACCAATTAACATTAAACATTTACCCCTCAAAAGAATGGGGACTCTCCAAATCCAGTGGCTCACACCTGTAATCCCAACATTCTGGGAGGCTGAGGCAGAACTGCAAGTTTGAGCATAGCCTGGACAACTTAGCAAGACCCTGTCTCAAAAAAACAAAAAATGGGGGTGGGTATTTCAGTGCAAAGGCTCTGGGTTCAATCCCCAGTATTGAGGAGGGGGAAAAAAGAATGTGGGCTCAAAGGCTCAACACAGGAATTAAATTTGGTTATGTACAGTTAATTAGACTGGGTTTCTTGCATGCCTGGACCTGTATACTGAGTCACACCTCTTCTCCCTGCTTGCAAGGAATAACGGAAAGGAGCAAGGAAGCTTAGCTGCGCAGGCCAGCAGAGGGCTGGCAGCAACTGTACTGTCCAAATGGGCATCATGGAAAGAAACAGAAAAAGTGGAGTGTTGAAGAGTGGTCAGAGAGGAGAGGGTGAAAACTGCATACACAGGCTGATGCTAAAGGAAGTAGAGCTTCATTTCCCATGGTCTAAGAATGCAACAGACACCTATAAGAGCAGGGTGCTCCTTGGCATGAATGGCCCTTGCACAGAAGCTGGAGATGTTGATTCTGGGAACTTGGGCCAGAGGCCTAGTAGCACTGTTTCTGTGACAGGCTTCAAGTGTTCGCATTGAGAAATCTGTGATATGTTTTGAAGGATTTGCTGAGGTGTGTGGGAAAATTGTATCTAGATCTGTGCCAGTCACTCTGCCACCCCAATTGGGCATCCAAAACTAAGCCAGGCACTGAGAAGGAAACAAAAAACTAAAACAAAACAAAACAAAACCCAAAGAAGTACAGTTTCCCACCCCTTCCAGAAACAAGAGTAAATATAGCTTCATGTAGGAGCCCTAAGCCAGATCACTAGTGCCATGTCTTAAATGGGCAATCTTTCCTGTGATCATCATTGATCTGGGCCTGTGCTGCTCCCAAATGCCCTGACCCTAACCATGTGCACATGATATGTGGGGAATCTGAGGCTGAGTACAGGCCTGGCCCAGCAATTCTCCCCCACTACCATCACTCAAGATCATTTCCTGGCCTTTTGTCCACACCAAGAAGGATATGTGGGTGGGAGCTCCTCCGAGGGATCACTTTTCCTGGCCCTCCTTCCCTTACCTGGTCCAGGCCAAGCTGCTTGCATGGAAAGGAAAAGGTGAAACCCAAGGGGAGGCTCTGTCCCCTCAGGCCCTGCTTCTGCTGGAAGTCTACGATGCAGTCCACGATGTGGTCGAAAAGCTGCAGATGGGGCAAGTCAGACAGTGGGCTCCATCCTGGCCCTTCCCTACCTCTGACATCAGGGCCCAAGTAGTGAGTACCTGCTGCCCAGATCCCTGAGCCACACACTCAGGGATGGAGTAGACCTGGTTGATGATCTGCACACCTCCTTCAGCCACACGCACCAGGAGGACCCGAAAGTTGGTGCCGCCAAGGTCCAAAGCCAGGAAGTCCCCTCGTTCTGTGGGGCAGAGACCGTCAGGGCCAGGGCATAGCTGGTAGCTCCAGTTTCAGCACATGGTGTGAACCCCTAGAGCCCATATCTCAGTGCTACACTCAGGCTAGGTCCTCACCACTGCCATCAGGTGTGGCCCGTACATATGTGGGCAGCATTCGGAGAGAGGAAGGCTCCCTTTGCAGCCCCTTGGCCATGGCCTCCCGCATCTGTGTCTGCACTGCTTCCAGCTGCTCACGGCTCAACCGGAATGGTGCTAGGGTCTCCTCCAGCAGACGTCGGTGCTTGGCCAGGCGGGCAGCCACAGCTGTCACCATTGCCACACCCCGGCCACCTCCATCCACAGAAGGGATAAAGGAGACATCACATTCTGAGGCCAAGAGCTTCACCGTCTCCTGTAGGATGCTGTGGAACCTACACAGATACAGACCAGGTGGACCCAGCTTGGCATCTGACCCTCAGAGCTTGATTTAAAGTTCTACCAGTTTAAATCAATCCAATCCTGAATCTTTTGTATGAACCAACCATACATCCCATCCCTGGATCACCCCCTCTCAGGCAAACATATAAAAAGAAGCTTCTTTTTTCTCTTTGGATGTCTCCTGGCATCCCACAGCCCAGTCTGGCCCTTGTTCTGCTTGGGTGCCATTTGCATTCACTGGCTTGCACGCATGATTGCACAGTGCTCTCTGAATGTGTACCACAAACACACATTTATGGATCATGTTCTCTCAGTACCTGGGGTGCCGCTCAAGCACTCGGCCTCCAGTGGCCACAGCGACCTGGAGAGTCTGCTGTTCCCGGCTGCGCTGGAGGTGGGACAGGACGGCGGCCAGGGCAGCAGCGCAGAGCTGGGCAGCCCGTGAGCATACAGCTACACAGACACGCTGCACGAGCTCAGCATCAGAGGCCTCCGGGTTCAGGCCCAAGTCCTGTAGGACTGTGTGGACACAGACTACCCCAGTAGAGGGGCTGGGGGTTGGGGACACAGTGCTTGTTTGAGACTGAGGTAGCCCAGTAGTTGCCCATCCCACCAAAGCCCTATAGCCACCTCAGGGACAGAGTATCCTCCCTTCTCCCACGCTGAGAATTGCCTGTTTAAGCTGCTCGCTTCCCCGACTCACTCCTCCATCTCAGTCACATGTTCCAGGAGGATGCTGCCTTGGCTCAGCAAAGCAGGAGAAGTGTAGCCACCAAACAAGACCCTGTTCTGGGCCAAGTGGACCAGCACCAGCCGCACCAGTTCCCCCAAGTACAAGCCCCCAATCATCTTCTCAAACCTGCAGGTGGAAAGGGGAGCTAAGACCTAAGCTGTCCTGCCTCCACTTCCAGAAGCCCCCAGAGAGAAATCATTTTTTCAGGATCCCCAGATGGGAGGATCCAGAACCAAAAGGCCTCCCAGGGGACAGGTGGATATTTGCCCACCACCACTCTTGACTTAGGCTAGATTCAGGGGCGTTTGAGAGGGGCAAGAGGACCCAGGGAAGGAGGGGTCAGCTGTTCTCAACCCCCAACTTTTATCAAGAATAAGGCATGGCCAAGAGTGGAAACCTTGAGGCCTTTCTTCTCTGTACCTGGCCAGAGTCTCCCAGGAGGCAATCTGGAGACCCTATGGGCCTGAGTGTAGGGGCAGCAGAGGGGTGGATCAGAGCAGTGATAGAGCCTAGCAGAGAGTCAGGTTCCCCCACCAAGCCACCTCTGGGCACCAGGATTCAGGGACGCCTGGTCCAGGGCATGATCAAAGGCGGTCAGCACTGGGCCCAGGGCCTTATCATCACTGAAGGAGCCCCATTCAATGCTGACGCAGGTGCGGCCCCGGTCCTCGTCCAGCACTGCCACATGCCGTGCCTCCTCCATGTAACATGCGTTGGTGCCAGTGTCTAGTAGGAACAATACCCATTAGGGCCTGCCTACCGGGCAGCCGTATCCCCATTCCTCACCACATACAGCCTGTAGCTCACCTACAACAAGGCCAATTTCACATGGCCCAACACCTGGCTCGCAGTCCATCATCGTGCCCACTGTATCATTCACCACAGCAACCACGTCAATGCTGTAGGCCTGGGCAAAATGGAGTGGGGAGGGGTCAGAGCCAGCCTGGAGTGGCCAAAGTGGAGAACTGGGTGATGCTCTGGGAGTACTGGGTCCCTGCCTTTGATGGAGACATCCAGAGTCAATGAAAAACATGTCTGCAAGCTCCACACATATACCCCAGGCTCCCATAGAGGGTTGTCTTCCCATTCCATCCAACTTCTTCCTCTACAACTCAGGCTCTCAGGGTCATAGGGGTACCCTCAGCCATCCCCTCCAGTGCTCCTCACAGAAATAGGATGAGGGTCCCAAGACTGAACACCTTGAAGACTGCTCCTCCCTCTCCTCACCCTCATCCTGACCCAGCTCTGCAAGCACTCCTCCCAGCCTGATTTCTAGCCTCTGCATGGGGCACCCTAAGGTTAGTCAAACAGACCTGCCTCTCTCCAGCACCCAGACTTTGGTAGATTCCCTTCTCTGGAACTAGATCTTCCTCTCCAGGCTCAGCTTAAGCACTAGGCAAACTGCTCCTTTAAGTCCTGTGTCCCCTACCCCTGTGCTGCCAGAGTCATCCAAACACAGGGACAGTCTTTTATTAGAATGTTTTCTCCCACTAGACTATGAGGACAGAGTCCTTAAGGACAGGGCCAAAGCCTTTTCAGGTTTGGTCTCCTCTCTCACAGTCCTAAACATTTATTTGAGCCTTTTAAACCTCAGTTTCCTTGCCTATAAAATGGGAATTGTAGCAACCTTTACCCCAGAGTTAAACTGGATAATGACTCTGAGCAGGAGAGAAAAGCAAGACCTGCCAGCAGAGAAGGCATGGCCTATGGCGATCAAGACCAGGCCAGCAAGAGCATCCTTCCCACCCCACCACCCTACTTCCCCACTCACCCCCTGCCTCTGAATGGCATCTCTCAGCAGCTGGACCACATCCTGGCCTTCTACACCACTGCACCTAAAACCTTTGGTCCAGGAAATGAGGGTGCTCTGGGGGCAAAAAAGCTGGGTTACTCCTCCAAAGGCCTTCACAGGGGCTACAAACCTTCTCCACCCAGTGTCCCCATCCCTTCTCCACCTCACCCTGTCCAGGCCTGTCTGGTGACAAGGGAAGGAGAAGCTGAACCCAAGCTGCAGACCCTGATTTCCCACAGAATGTGCATCCAGGAACTCAACCAGGCAGCGAGCAGCAAAGTCGAAGAGCTGTGGGACAATGGGTTCTTAGCTCTAACTGCCAGGCCCAGCCACCCAGCCCGGCCTCCCAGTCTGGGCAGTGAATGCTCACCTGCTGACCAGTGCCCTGTACCACCTCCTGGGGGATCACAAACTCCTGGCTCTTGGGCTCCACCCTCTGCCCCTTGATGCCCGTCAGAGTCACCCACAAGATACGCAGTGATGCTCCTGAAGCCCCCAGCTCCAGCACCACAAAGTTTCCTTGCTCTAGGGGCAAGCAGGTCATAGAAAGGTATGCAGTTGGCAAGAACAGCACTTTCTGCCTCCCAGAAAAATTCCAAAGGCCTGCAGAATCTGGTTAAAGGGACCTTAGAGACACAGGGCAAGGATAAAATCAGTATCCTTCCCCAAGCCGCATCATCCGTCTTAGTCTGTGCCACCCACCATTGCCATGTGGGGTAGACCCCACATATGTAGGCAGCATCCGGACACCAGGGGCAAGGCTGGCCTCTCTCATCAGGGCCTGCTCCATGGAGCCCAGAAGGCTGGCTTGGATCTGCTGCAGCTGTATCTTTGTCACCTTGAATTGCTGCAGGCATTCCTGTACCTGGGGAAAAACGAGCCAATATCTGGAAGGGAGCCTATTGGACTAGTCATACCCCCCAATTCCAACTAGGGCAGAGGTCTGCCACATCCAGTTCACATCCTGCCTCCCAGGTCCTCAGCTTCCCCAGGGGCTGGCTAGAGCTTTCTCTTGCACCTGTGTAGCCCACTCCTTGCCTCTTTGCACACCCCAACTCTTTCACCACTCACAGCCTGCAACTCACTGCTGTGTTTTCAGAAGGCTATGTTCAGAAGAGAGAAGTCATCATATTCCTCTTCCTGCTCCATATCTTGATGGTTTCTTCTCCACTTCTGCCTCCTCTACCCTGCTCCTCCACTTCTTTGATTTCAGTGTTTGGCAAGGCTTCCCTCCTGTCACTATGACTGATTGCTCTCCAGCTCCCCAGTAACCAGAGCAAAAAGCTTCTCAATGAGTTGTTGTTGAATGAACAAATGTGTGAACAAACTTCAAGTGTTTGTCTCTCTAACCCATTCTCAAATTCAAGGCTGAACAAACCCTGCGCAGGAGTTTGGAAAGGACAAGGCAGATGGTTTCTGACATATTGACCAAGCTTCTACCATACACAGCACTATTTTAAGTAGTGTAACTGAGTGCAAAGCTCTGGTTCCAGTGTGGGAGACAGAAAATAAGCAAACATATAATATGATTCTGGTAATAAAGGTGACTATAAAAAGGTGGAGGATTAGATATTAGAAAAGAATTTAGGGAGAAAGAGCTATCTTTAGATGTGAGTCCAGAAAGGCCTCCCTGAAAGTGATCTAAATGAAAGAAGGGGGAGCAAACCGTCTGGGTGAAGAGCATAAAGGGATTTTCTCTGGGGCTAAGGCATGGATTTGAGGGAAGACTGAGCTGGAAGTGAATTAGAGATAGAAGGGAGGGCTGAAAAGGTAGGAGAAGGCAGAGGATGTGACTGGTCAGATTCTTACTCTACCAGACGCACGGGTGCTAACAAGCCCTGGGAACTTCACCTCTGTGGGCAAAGGCCTCCCTAGACATCCCTCTTGTCCATCTGTCAAAGCCCCTACAGCCTCCCTGGATTCATTGGAAAGTCATAGCACAGCGATGCACTCCATAGTTCCTTAGTTTGTATTTTCCAGAAGCCCATCTCCTGTCACATAGGAATTCCATTCCAAGCCCGAACTGGAACCATATCTGTGAAAATATAACCTGGGCACCTGAAAAATAATAATAATAATAAAATAATGATAATAATAATAATAATAATAATAACCTCCAAGGAGAGGCTGCCCACTGAGGAAGATGTACAGGACTCAGTTCCACCCTTTACTTAAGAAGTTATTGGAAAACAGACCCTTAAAGAGGCACATAATCCTAACCGGAGTGCCAGACATTCCATTATGTGGTTACACAGCAACATGTTTCCAGCCACCATGCACACTAAGAGTGGCTGTGCTTATGTTACAAATGAGGAAGCAGAGGCTTGGAGAAAGCAAAGTCACTGCCTAGCCCAGGGAGCTATGAAGGAGCAGAGTATGGATTGTGAAGCCAGATCAGTCTGATGCAGATGTTTCCACATCAGTGTGAAGCCTTATAAAAACTAGCTATCTTCCCTGAAAAGAACCCAATGCTGATGGAAATTGCAAGAGGGAAACCCCAGGTGACCTGGCAAGGGAAATTTTTCATCAAAATCCTCACCCTCTTTTTGGCTGTGTGATCCTGGAAAAGTCGCACCTCTCCCTAAACCTCAGTCGCCTCTTACGCAAAACTGAGAAAATAATACTATTCAGAAGTCCCACAAGGCCAGGGACCCTATCTTATTTGTATCCCCCAGGGCCATGTTGAGCAGCTGGCTCCAGGCAGGCTCTCTGGAGCTGTTGATTGAAGGGTGACATGAGGATTAAAGAGGACAATGGATGTGAAAGTGCAAGCACTGTTCATATGGGAGGAGTGTCTTAGTATTGCTTAATGAAAACAGTTGAGTTATGCAAAAGTTGATGGGTTTTCTTCCCATTTCTCCTGACTACAATGAGAAGTTCAAGAAGAGAGAACTAGGTGATGACCAAAGCCATAGGAAAGACAGAACTTCTCTGGCAGACTCTGGTAGAGTCCACACCAGCCAGGAAAATCTACCAGAACTTCTCCCCTCCATCACAGGAAGAATGGGGAGACCTCAGCCAAGAGAGCGAGAAGCAAAGAATTAGGGAGTGTGTGAAGTCCAACATGGCCTGCATGCTGTCTGCTTTAATTAACTTGCTGTCAGTCAGTCTGGACCCATTACCTCACCTCTCTGAGCAAGTTACCTCTGCTATCAGGGGGTAAATAATAGTGCCTATCTCAGAGATGCCCTGAAGTCTGAGGAGACAGTAGATATAAAGCAATGGAGGGCTGGGGATTTAGCTCAGCGGCACAGCATCTGCCTGGCAAGCGCAATGTCGTGAGTTTGATTCCCGGTACCAGAAAACAAAAACAAAAACAAAACAAACAAACAAAAAGCAATGGAGACTACCTGACACAAATGACCTGCATGATGAAATTTAGGGGTTTCCTTTCTTCAGGTCAGAAGGCACAATTGGCCTAGAGGGGTCTAATTCTGCACCCTCTCTGCTGACAAAAAAAAGATTTGAGGGAAGGTCTGGGAAGAGACTACGAGATGGGGCTGGACACTGACAATATGTGGCTAATCTTTCTTTTAACCTAAGGCTGTGGGAAAGGAGCTGGTGGTGAGTCCTGGGGTGCTGAGTTGGTGTGCAAGACTATAAAAAACTTGACCTCCCTGTGAGGTTTTCTAAAGCCAAAGGAAATTTTTTTTTTTCCTTTTTTCTTTTAATGCTATACTGGGGGTTGAATCCAAGACCTCGTACATGCTGGTTAAGTATTCTGCCACTGAGCTACAACTCCAGACCTCTTTTTTTCACTTGAGACAGAGTCTCATTAAGTTGCCCAGGTTGGCCTTGATCCTCCAGCCTCAGCCTCCAGAGTAGCTGGGATTATAGGCATGTGCCACCATACCTAGCCCCAGGGAAAATTCTTTAAACCACAGGTGTATGTAATGGAGACAGTAGAGATAGAGATAGATGTGCAAGAGAAGGGGTGGGCAAGAAGTGAGAAGGGAGATGATGGCAGGCCTTAGCACAAGCCTCATAGGGCAGTTATTGCTCATTCCTGGGGCCCAGCTGTGGCTGAACACAGAGGAAATGTTTACACCAGGGTCTGGGGCACAGGTTGGGCAAAGGAAGCATGAAATACCCTGAAGTGGCATGCCTCCACAATTGGACAAGCCTAGTAAGCAGATATCAGAACTAGCCAGAAACTGCAGAAAATGAATGGTTCAGGAACCACTTTACAAGTGCCTCTCCTCTGTGCAGGCGCTCCATGTGTTAACTTAAGCTTTCAAGGGGTTGGAAGTATTCAACTTTATTTTCCTTGTGTGGAAACAGAGAACCATGAGATATGAAATGACTTACACAAGCATTTCCTGCTTGAGGATATGGCAACCAAGGGCGTCCATACTACTACATAACAACTTTCAACACGAGTTCAGCACTACACTCTTCCCTGTATGCCTGACCACGGTGGCTGCGTGAGGTCAGGGACATGTCTTGGAGGGACTGGGGAAGTGGGAAAGGAGCTCAAGAACAGAACTTTTTTTCAATAAAACTCTAGGAGGGCCCATTCTGGCCACACCAACCCACTCTGGGCAAGGCAGGGGTGTTACCAGATGGAAAAAGTGCTATGTTGGAGCTGACACACCTCAGCTCCAGCTTCTCTTAGGTTTAAGTGTCAGACTTTAAACCCAAGTCACTTTACTTCTCTGAGGCCCTGAGCTAATCCCCACCTTCCAGTTGTTTGGAACCTGAGAGAGGTATCATATGAGCAAAAGCTTAGTAAACTGTTAAGAAACCGTGCAAATGTGAGTGCTGGGGCCACAGTAGCTCATCATCCTACTCTTGGTAGCCTCGAATAAGCACAAAATAGGCCCCCATGCTGAGCTTACCAGCTCTGAGCTGTCTGAGGGCTGAAGTATGCCCTTCTGGGGACAGCTTGGGGCTCTTGCCCCAGGCTCCAAGCCAGCAGGCTCAACGGAGTCCATGTAGTTCCACAATGGAGTCTGGCCACCTATGGGAGAAAGGGGATAGCCAGGGTTAGCCACTTAATCTACAGGCCTCAAGAGGCTGTTGCGCAGACCCTCAACTTCCTCCCTTCCGAAGGGGACCAGGAACTGGGCAGAATTTAGAGCCTCTGACCATCAAAGATCCTTTAATAGTGAATTTTCCAGAAGCATGGATAATGAGAGAGCCCTGGAAAGGCTGAGTTCAAATGTCATTCATTCATCTGTCAGTCATTCATTCACACCATTTCCTGATGACTGATGTGCTAGATGCTGGGCTATAGATGAATCCAAGGCCCCTACACTTAGGGACCTCACAGCTTTACCAACAGTCGTAGCAGGTCTGGCACAGGTGGTGATAGAGGTGGACACATGTAGCAGATAAATATGCTGCTGTGGCTGGGAGGCCAGAGACGAGCTAGCAGCTGAAAGGGATAAGGGAACAAAGATGTGTCACAGAAGCAGGCAAGCTGGCCTACAAGCAGCTTTTATGTCAGGGTAAGGTATGTAAATTTCATCCTGTGGATGACAGGGAGACATGGCAAGGGTCTGTGCTTTGGAAATGAAATCTGCTTCAGGAAGGGATTCCACTAATGGCATGACTTTGGACGAGTCTTTTATGACTTTGAATTTCAGCTTCATCATCTGTAAAGCAGGAGGAAATAATACTCTCACCAGGCTGTTGTGAACACTAAACAAAATAAAGCCTAGGGAGATGCCTTATGAAATGCAATGCTCAGTTCATGAGTTTTGCAAAGTGCAGTGATGCAGAGTGGAAAAAACTCTGCATCAGAGTTCAGGCCCAGCTCTCACAAGGACTCCCAACCTCAAGACCTCGTTTTCATCTGTGAAATGGGATGTGTGGGCAAACGAGATAATGAGAGCAAAAGAACCTTGCTCAGAGTGCACGTTCAGATTGGTTCAGGTGCTTTTCAAGAGGGAAGGAAAGCAGAGGCAGGCTAAAGATGGGCACAAAGGCATTTGTCCTCTGAGCACTTCACCTATCCTTGCCAACTTCTAGAAACACTGTACCTTCCCACCCATGCGGCCTCTCCCCACTTTCTACCCCCATCACTCCTACAAACTTGCCCTCCACATGGTCACCTATGTCCCATCTGTCCAATCCCAATCCTCAGTCCTGGTGCTGCTGCATTCTCCCCTTCCTTGGCTCCTAGCTGTCTTTTTGCTTTCTCATCATCTAATTTCTCTGCCTTTAAGCAATGAGGTTCCCAAACTTCTGGCCACCCGCTTCTCCACACTCCCTCTTCATCTTACTCATCCCCAAGATTTGATTAAAACTTGTGTCAGGGCTCCTAATCAACCCCCAAACTGAATCCTAAATTCCAAGGTCTATTAGACCTCACTGCTGAGACTCCTCATTTTCAGTAGTCAAAACCCCATTTATTCCCTCTACTTTCCCCATGCAAAACTGTTCTCCACCTTGGCTGAAAGTTTTGAGGTTTGCTCATCCACATAGCCGTTGTCTATGTACATCCCTCACCTCCTCTAAGCAGTTCATCTGAGGCTCTGGGGAAGCACCCTCTCATGTGTCTCACTTTCCTATACCTGCAGCCACTATCTGATTATTTCAATAGGCTTTAAGTGGTATCTCTGTCTCTAGCCAGATCCTATCCTTGCCCTACCCGAATCTACATCACCATGGCTGTGCTAAAACAGATTTTATCATGTTATTTTGAAACTGTCTTCCCTGAAAAAAGGATGCAAATCTTTACACTGATGGTTCTCACTGCAGAAAGAAAAGTCTAGAACTCTGTTTAGCAGCATTGCAGGCCTCTTACAATGCATTTGATGTAAGGTTCCTGTGGGTACTTTCCTCTACACTCCAACCACACTGACTACAAGCAGTCTCCTGCTTTCTGAATTTGGCTCAAACTGTTCCCAAGTCTGAAAGGCTATCCTTCTTAACCTTGTAATATATGACTCACTTCTGCATTTCTTATGCCAGTATGAGGTTGGGTTTAAGTATGTGCTAATGGTCTATAAAACTGAAAGTGGGGGAAGAAGTTTCTATTTCTACTTCTTGGTGAACTGAGAAATCAATTTCTGGTAAATCTCCCCCTCAAATCCCATGTAACTCAAATTCGTTTCCAGACCTGTCAAATGGGACTGTGGAATATTCATTCTATAAATGTCATGGTCTGTTTCAAGGATAAAATGAGGTAAATGAGGTAATTACTTTTGGAAGGGGCTAGTACGTACATGGTCCTCTCCATTCAAGGATCAGCTAGCTCAATCACTTATCTCTTCAGCCATTCAGTATTTGTTCAGCACATTCTAGACTGTGAAGCTTCCCCTAAGTATGTATTCAGGTCTATCTCTTCCAGCTAAGAGCTACTCTGGGGAAAGACCTGTTTCCTTCAGTGCTCTATCTCCTGAACCCAGACCAGAGTTTGCACACACTTGAACTGAAGGCTGCTTGGTTTCCCTTAGCGGAATCAGCTGCACGGAGTGAGCCTTCCTTCTCAAAGTATCAGAGGAATCCCTGCTGAGGTTGGGATCAGTGGATTGGTCTTTCAGCTTCCATTTCCTCTGGTGTGGGCAAAGCAGGAAGGTAAGGACAAGAGGGCAGGGAATGAAACAGGCAAGTAGACAGAAGGAAGTACTTACCTGGGAGGCACAGTATTGGTCACTCTCCTCAGTTCTGAGCTCTTCTCTCTCAATATGAGGCACCACAGTGACACTGGTCTGTACCAAAAGAGGAACTCAGGGATGACCTGAGTAAAATGTCCCCAAGCCCCGCCCTGTTCCTCAGACACTGCTTACCAGACACCAACTAATGCATGAGAATGCACTTCCTACTAATGCTCTAAGAGACTGGGGTAGGCAGAGCCATGGTGCAAACTTAAGCAAGATAGCCACAAGAAGTCAGAGTCTTGAACTGGGTCAAGGATCCCAGAACATTCCCTTTGCAATGCTGACAGCCCTACTCATTTTACAAACACTCGAAGTTCAAGTTTTGAGGTGGTAACTCATCCCTGGAAAGAAGCAGGAAGACCTTAGCTTGGGAAGTAGGCAGTGTAATAGACAACTTTGTGAAATGTGGTAAGTACTAATGAGCAAGTAACATGGGACTGACTGTGCAGGAGAGTGGGCAGGTAAAGTTGAGGAAGCTGAGCCTTGAAGAACAGTACACTGACAGGGGAGGGCATGTACAATCATCGGTCATAAACACAGGTTCCTTGGTGGAACAGGGTCAAACTACCAGGGCCCACAGAGGACACATGTAGGTGGGATATATGGTGAGAAAGAAGGTAACAGCTAGACTGAGAAATCCAATCTTTAGTTTGTAGACCAAGGGACTTTTGTACTGAAAGGAGAAAAGGAGTCTCAGGCTTCTATGGAGCTACTGGCCACCAAACTACTTTCCCATTGAATGAAGTCTTTTTGAAAGCACAGAACCATTGTAGATCAGGCACTCTGCAATCATCTTCCCTTCAGACAAATTTTCAGGCACTTTCAAACTTGAGCTACCTCATCAGCAGTAACCCTATCATTATCCAGGTACAAGGCCTCCACATGACACCAGGGTGGAATCCAGAGACCATGGTTCCTGTATCAGCTGTCATAATTAGGCCTGGAAACATGGCAGACATCAGCCCTGCTGCAGTTTCCTGTATATCAATCAGGCATATAATAGGCTCTAAGACAGGGACGTGAAAGATGGTGCTGGGGAAAGCAGAGTGGTTGCCACTCACAACAGAGCATACTGTCTAGCTGAGGGGACTAATCTCTCAACTTTTGTTTAGTTGGGGGAAGACTATGGAACTGAAAACAAAAGGCTCAGCTGTGATTCATGTAGCAACATTTGTACCCTTTTGAGCCACAGTGAGGATATGACTCTGAGAAGCATTGCCAGGACATCTTGTGACTGTTCCCGGAAATGCTATATCTATCAACAGGAAGTAGGTATCCTGCCCCGCTACTCAGTGCCAGTGAAAGTTTGGCCCAAGATTGGTAAAGAGAGGCTGGGCAGGGTGGCACATGCCTATAATCCTAGTATTCGGTAGGCTGATGCAGGAGGATCACCATGAGTTTAAGGCCAGTCTGGGCTACATAGTGAGTTCAAGGTCAGTCTGCACTATTATAGTGGGATGAGACCCTGTCTCAAAAAAAGACTAGTAAAGGGAGGACTAGTAAAGGCTGGACTTGAGGTCTGGGAAAAAACAAGTGGGACAGACCCAGTTATAGCAGAGACACAGGAGCTGCCAGCAGTAGTCAGGGAGATACCAGATAGACACTGACCAACAAGGAGAACGAAAATCAAGACAAAGTTCCCTCACAGTTCCTTAGTGCAATCTTTAGCAGTCAAAAAACCACAAAAAACAAAGAGCAAAAACCAAACTATGGAATAGAAAGGTATGCACAGCAGAGTAAGGGTACTACTGCTGAGCTGGGAGCTCAGGCCCCGCCTGTCCTGAGTGTGCTCCTCTCTACCGAGTGCCTGCAGCCAGGCACAGGGGCCCTCAGTAAACCCCTCACCACACCACCACACGCTTTATACTCTGCTTTATATTGAGCTGCTTCTATTTTGTCTTTGTTCATGGCGATTTGTCTAGAATGATTCTCCCTTTGACCTGTCCAACTTTTTCACCTAATTTTCCCTCTGTTAAATTATAGCTCAGTCATCAGTAACAGTGGGAAGCGCTTCCCTGACAAGCTCCTCTAGGCTCTGATCCCAGCTGGGAGCCGGAATACTGATTCCTTAGTATTTTGGATTTGCTAGTACCATTGATTTACAAATGTATTAAAATCATGTATTTATGTGTTCATCTTATCCTCTGCACTGTGGGGTCCTAGATAATGTTTCTTATTCACTTTTGGAGCCTGAAGGCCAGTTCTAGACCCAATACAGAAAAGATATAAGCAATTTTTGCTAAACTGTGGAGCACTACCACAACCTCCATAGTGCAGGGCTTTTGAAATGGAAAGGAAGTAAGTAATCTCCTGCCTTCC